ATTGTGGATTTTAGCTTCTTTAGAGTCGGCGCCTCGTCGGCGGTAGGTGCTTTACGCTTCTTAGTAGCAGCCGCTAGTAGTTTGCGCTTAGCCGCTTTTGCTTCCACTTTGGCGGCCTTTGCGGCGGCCTCGCTAGCTTTCTTCTCCTCGCGGTACTTCTACTCGATTGCGTCTAATTTCTTTAACACTTTAGCTTTAAGCTTCTCCTTTTCCTTTATATATAAAGGGAAGGGTAGTGTCTCTAGCCGCACGCCTCTATCGGTTGTTACCTCTCGGGATTTTAGCGTATAGTAGCTTATAGGAATGTCCTAGAAGATAAGGCCCTTAGTAGCCGGTGCGAGACTAAACATTAGGTCTATTAGCAACGCGCGTAGGCCTAGAGGGAACCGTCCTAGCTATAGCTAGAAATTTTAGATTATGCGGCGGAAATCTTATTCGATGTCGCTCTAAGCTAACTACTACATCTAATTCTTAGCGAGTTCGGCGATTAGCTATATATACGTAGATCGCTACATTAATAGGAGCTTACCCTTAAGTATAGCGGGCTTCGACTAGTCTAGGATATCGGGGCACTCCTCGCCGGTTATATCGAAGATAGCCTTAAGGTGCTCCGCGATCCTACTAGGCTCGCTTTCGGCATTTAGTAGTAGGCTAATACTATCGGAGAAAAGTCCGATAAAGTAGTTTTTAGCCTCCTTATATGTCTTAAGGCAGGTCTAGCCTTCGGTTATTTAGTATACTAGGGCGACGTAGGCTAGCGCCGTTTCGGATATCTTCTCCTAATAGAGCTCCTTAAAGAGGTCGGCGCATTTCGCGTTTCGGCTATAGAATAGAACCTTGTACGTAGGCATCGCGATATCCTCCGGCTTACGTACCTCGTATAGGATAGAGTCGTCGCTGCTAAAAGTGTCGTATTTAATATCGTAGACGAGAGGTTCGCCCGCTATAGCCTACTCCTACGAATAGGCGTCTACGCTAAACTTCGGGTTCGCTAGGCCTTCTTCGTAATTCTATATCTATTATAGAGGATAGAGCTCGCCGGTCTTCTTATAGATTGCTTTAGGCGGCTCTCCGGCCGGGATATACTTCTAGTTAGTATACTTAATAGATCCGTATGCGTTATCGGAGTCGACGAGCGCGTTTTTATATAGGAGCAGGTCGAAATAATAAGGCTAGATAGACGCAAGGTATCGGCGCAATCCTTTAGGTAAGATACTTTAGCTATCGGACGTTCGCATCGTAGCGCGAGCGCCTAAAATAGCGTTCTTCCGGGCGTCCGTAGGCTTGTCTTCGTCGGCGTCGAAATTATACTTATCGACGAAGTTCTTTAAATCTGCCTACTCGTAGTAGTTGCAGATATCGAGCCCTAGCTCCTTATTGCGGCCTTTGAATTTTCTCTTATGCTACTTTACTTGCTTAGTCTAAGCCTTCTTAACCTAGTTAAGGCGAGCGGCCTTCTAGTCGTCGGTCTCGGTTTTAATCTATAGAGCCTTAACGGATAGCTTTACCTTCTAACCCTCTTCTTTAGCCTGCTTGCGATAGACTAAGGCTTTACGGTTAACTTCGCCCTCCTTTATAAGCTTTTGTTTTAGGACGTCGAGTTTCTCCCGGCCGAAACGGTTATAGGTCTTATAGAATAGCTCGGCGGACTTATCCTAACCGTACTATTAGGTATCGTAGAGGTAGGCTCCTTAGGCGCCGATTAAGTCCTAGAATTGTCCGGTAAGAGTGCACTCGCTCCTCCGTATACTAAAGGCTATCTAGCGCGATGCGTAGACCGGGGCGTCGGGTAAGAAGGGCTCTACGCCGTATAGCCTCTTATCTATAGCGATTTCGTAGAGGAGCGAGCTATTACGGCCGACTATGTTGTTTAGGGTACGCGCTATCGCTATCGGAATATCTAAAACAGCGTTAAGGGGCAGGCCGGCTCTATCGATATAGGGAAACATATCGGAGAAATTAGGCTTTATATCTAGGTAGGGGATTCTTAGAAGTTCGCCTTTCCTAGGCGGTAGTACGGCGTTCTTTATTTTCTCGTCTCTCTTCTTCTTACGCGCTCGCTTAGCGGCTTCTTTTTTATCGACGACTTCGTCGACCTCTTCGTTAGCGTAGTTATCGTCTTTAATCGACTAAACGACGTCTTCTATCGGATCGCCGACGTCTTCGTCGTCTTCGCTAGTATAATTATCGTCTTTAGTCGACTAAACGACGTCTTCTATCGGGTCGCCGACGTCTTAGGGCGTACTAGTAGACTCAGACTTGCTTCCTAAGTCCGCGTAGGTATCCTGCTCTTGCTCCCTAGCCTCTGCGGGCTATTCTTATTCCTTAGCATTTCCGATTATAGACTGTCGTTCTTCTTTATTCTTAGCACTAGGCTATTCTCCTTCATCCTTCTTAGTAATAGGCTGCTGTTCTTTACTATTTTTAGTAACAGGCTGCTGTTCTTTATCTTCCTTAGCAATAGGCTGCTATTCTTCACTATTTTTAGCAATAGGCTGCTGTTCTTTATTATTTTTAGCAACAGGCTGCTATTCTTCATCCTCCTTAGTAATAGGCTACTATTCTTCATTATTTTTAGTAATAGGCTACTATTCTTTATCCTCCTTAGCAATAGGCTACTATTCTCTATTATCCTTAGTAATAGGCTACTATTCTCTATTATCCTTAGTAATAGGCTACTATTCTTTATCCTCCTTAGTAATAGGCTGCTGTTCTCTATTATCCTTAGCAATAGGCTGCTATTCTTTACTATTAGTAGACATAGGACGCGGCTGTCCTTAGCCTTTACTAGGGTTGTCGTCGTCGCGCGGCGACGGTAACATCTCGAATATGCCGCTCTACTTGCGCTAGCGTAGGAGGTTGGGATCGCTTGCTATAGATAGCGCGGTAAGCCGGTAGGGCGTAGTCGATATCGAGTACGGATATTACTAAGATGCTTATAGTAGCAACGGCATACCGCCGACTTGTAGTGTATTATTATATATAGAGTAATTGTTACGCGAAGAAGGACGGAAAAAGGTTACCTCGCGGTAGGGTCCGAGCTTCCGCGCGCTTTTGCGCGACTAACGGTAGCGTATATACGCGAACCTTAAAACAAACTTTCGAAGTAAAGCGATAAGCGAGGAAAACGACTTCTAGAATTTATTAGTTCCGCTAAGGTAGCCCGGAAGTCTACGTCTATCGGTGTTCGAAACCTATATCTAAATCTATAGAGGTAATGCTAGCGGAAACACTATTAGATTTCCTCTATAGGAGGGAAAACCTATAGCCGGGGGTTAAGGTACCGATTCGCCGTAATAAGCGGGAATTGTAGCGTCGTAAACAAGGATAGTAGAATTCTTCGATAGGCTCCTACCTAGGTGTTTAGAGGCGCGGGGGTATCGCGCTATCGCTAAATTTCATCCTTAGTAAGACGTCGTATCGTCGGAATTAGGGTCCTCTTCTTTATCTCCCCTTAGCGTACTACTAGGGGCTACGTCGCGAGTTATCTAGTAGCGATGTATATCGGAGCTAGTTAATTCCGGTCGCAGCGCTTTATTGCCTATAGTCGGGTTCTACTCGCTTAAGGTTGTATCTAGTAGAGACGGATCGGTCTGCTGCTCCCTAGAGGGGCCGCCGATAGACTTATCGTCGCTTTCTTTAATATATACTAGTTTCTTCTGCCCTCTCGGTAGCTAGCGTCGTATAGGCTGCACCTGTCTATTAACGTTCCCGTCGACGTTGTTGCCGCTACTACTATCTTAACTAGGTCGTATCGATCTCGTAGCGATATGTCTCGGCTCCCTCTACGTTATAGACGGCGTTATTTAATTTACTTGTCTGTCCGTAACCTACGAGTCTTCGAATCTTTTAATTAGGTGTTCGTTGCCTTCTCGCATTTCGTCTTCTCTAACCTATTTATTTATTATTAGTTGCTCGTCCTTCTACTTTACTAGATATTCAGTCTTTCCCTTTAAGCTACGTTTAGCTAAAACGCGTTTAGGAGTTATTGTAGGTTGTTTAGACTATAGGTCTATCGGGGCTAGAACGCGGGGATAAGGTCTCGAGAAGGGGTCCTTCGCTAGATTTAGTACAGGCTCGAGCTGCGCGATCGATATTACCGGGTAGAACTTAACTAACTTAGGCAGCTCCAATTTATAGGCTAATTTGCCTATTCTTCTCTTAATCTTAAAAGGGCCTATAGCCTAATTGCTGTATTTGCGATAGCTCTAACTATGTACGCGATACCCGTAATATAGCCTAAGTATAGTATAGTCTCCCGGCTCGAAGAACATATGCTAATGCTTAGCATCGTAGCGGTGCTTTATATCTACCGCTACGAAGGCTATAGATTCCTCGGCTGCGTCCCGAAATTACTGTCGTAGCGTTACGTAATCCTTTAGCTACAGTTCTCGGAGCCCGACAAAGGCGTCGGTATTTAAATCAAACCCGAAAAGCATTTCATCGGGCGAGACGCCGGTGCTCGCATTCTTAATACTCCCGAGATAGGATATAAGGGAGGGAAGGACGTCTATCTACTATACATCTAGATTTGCCGTAACAAAATACTATATAGCGATCTTAACGGTCTGATTTATACGCTCGGACTAGCCGTCTATCTATAGATAGTAAGCTATAGAGGCGAGGATTAATGCGCCTAGTAGCTTTATTATTATAGTAAAGAATTTGGATAGCTATTTAGGGTCTCGATCGCAGATAAAGACTTTAGCGACTCGCTAAGATCGCTCTTAGATAGCCGTAAGGTACTAGGCTGCCTAGGTTTCTGTAGTCTACTAGCATTTGCCGGGGAGGAGCAAAACCCGTTTAGACTTCTTATAGGTTACTATAAGGAGCGTATTAAAACCTTCGTTAGTAGGTAGGAGTCCTATAATCTAGTCTGCTATTTAGACGTCTATAGGGAGCCTATACTTCGCGTCTATCGGATTGAGTTGCCCGTAGGGCTTATATCGCGTTAGCTAATTCGTCTTATATATATAGCACTAGTCGATGTAGCGTTCTAAATGTCGGCGACAGTGCCGGATATAGAAACTCGCGTTAACGCGATCGAGGGTGCGCTAAAAACCCGCGTAATGCCGAAGGTTATAGGCTATCTTAAAGATCTCGTAAGTAAGGCTAAAAGGAATATATAGACGGGAATAGTGTAAGGTCGGGTTAATGTAGTAAACTAAGCTATCTTCCCGAAAAAATCTAATCCTATCTAGGCACTTTAGGTCTATCGGGACGTCGTCGGGTTTTTCGAGTATATACTATATACTACGTACGGCGGTGTCTTCCGAAGAGCGTAAAGAGGCTAGCTTCGGGAGATACGCTAGAGGCTAATCCGGGTAGACCGAAGGTGCCCTGCCCGTCTCTAGGGCGGCTTTTACCTAGGTCTTAGAGTGTGCCTTCTTCCGTCTAGCTTTACGGTCGCGCTTACGCCTCTGCCTCCTCCGTACTTAGCGATTCGATATCTGCTCGGGTTGTACTGCTTAGTCCTAGGTATATGCGACTTCGATAGACTTAAGGACTGCTAGCAATCTCCGCTACGGTCGGTCGTCTCGGTATACTTTCCTAAGTCTCGCTTTAAACTCGTCGGAGAGGGATATTACCGTTTCTACGTAGAGAGTAGGTTCCTTTTAAATGCTATAGAAAAAGGCGGGTATTTCGTCGCGACGGTAGTATTCCTATCTATTAGTTCGCGAAAAGAAACATTCGCTATAGTCGATCCTAGACGAAGAGAGGACATTTACTAGGGCCGAAGGCGGAAGAGTAGGGATATTTATTTTGAAATTTAGGAGGTTAAGGCTACGTATGCGCGTAGCCGCGGTAGACGCAGGGTCCGGCGATTAGCTCGAGATTTTCATATCGCACGCGCCGTCGCCTTTAAAGGTAGGCTTAAGGTCGTACGGCATTGTTAACATTATAGGAATCTCGTCTAAGCCGCTAGCGTTAACGTCGTCCTATTAGGGGGAGAGCACGCCCTATAATCGGGAGAGTATATCGGGGGCGATATAATTACGTCCTAGTCTGTAGACAATTTCTAAGCTCGCGAATTAGGAAATGTAGATAGCGGCCTAGATTATTCTCCGGTTCAATCCGGCTATAGACACCGTCGTAGCGATCTAGGTCTTTTTCGCTATCGCCGTTACCGCGCTATAATCGGTAACTACGATAGTCCTTAGTACTGCGTCTACTATGTAAGACGCCCTTTTAATTGCCTAGACGACTCCGAACAATTCGAGCTCGGTTAGCTAGTAGCGCGCTTCGGCACCCGTAAGTATATAACTAGCGAAACCTAAGATCTTTAGTCTATCTCGGGGAAACTACTTAGACCGCTTTAGCTAGGTAGTACTATCGACGAAATCGGAGACTGTATTATCTTTCCGCGTTATAGGGGCGGGTTCCTCGTATTCTATTTCTAAGTCTCCGTCGACTTAGTAGTATATTACGCCTATTCTAAACTCCTTAGAGGCGTCTACGTCGATATACAAGGTAGACGCAGGGTCGAAGTACTAGAGAAATCCCTTCCTATCTTCGGACTATATAGATTATATAGTGTCCTAGGTAATGTCTATTTCGCGGGTCTAGTATAGCCTTGCTCCCCGCATTTAGGCGCGGCGCCTTCCGCCCTTCGTTTAGGTAGCCTAGTGTTCCTTTATTACGGCGATTTTGGCTTGCTATAAGGGCAGTGTAATTCTGCCGAAATATAGAACAGTAGACCTAAGGTAGCCGACTAGACCGAGATAGTGTTCTAGCTGTTCGGCGTTAATAGGCTTTTCTAGTTCCCGTAGCGCTACGAGTCTGTCTACCTAAGTTGCGAATCCCTTCCCGTCTACCGTTCTCCTAAGAATTTAGACAGAGGGGAAACCTAGGTACGCCTTCCCGGGTTCTAGGCTAAATCGCAAGTCGTCTATCTTTTTAAACACGCGTTCGAGTAGGGCACGATAAGACTCTAGGTCTACCGACCCTAGGACTATATTATCGATATACCCGTTCGCCGCGTCCCCGAATTCCCGTAGAGTGCGGTCGAGTAGCCTTTATACGTATTAAACGCTATTACAATATCCTATCGCCGCGACCTTTAAGTATTCCTATCCGCGGGCAGTGTTTACTATGAATTTCTAGCGATCTTTCTCGGCTACCGCGAATTGATAGAATATAGACCTTACGTCTATTACCGAGATGTATGTATAGCTATGCAGCTTAGCGATAATGTTGTCCTAGAGGGGAAGAGGGTAGGTATCCTTCTACGATATGCTATTAAGGCCTCTAATGTCGATAACTACGCGTAGCTTGCGGTAAGCTAAGCTATCGTCGCGGAATAGCGTCCTCTAGACGACGAAAACCGGCTAAGCTAACAGTAAAGGTTTTTCGCTAAAAGCTATCTTACCTTAGAAGTAGAGTTTATCGAACTGTTTATCGACTTCCGTATTGTCCTTCGCCGACATTCGATAAACCTTACTACTAAACTTTTTATCTTTCTATCCCGACTTAAGGGAAAGTTCTAACTACTCGTCCTTTAGTAGGTTAATCGTCGTGCCCCTATCTATCTACAACTATAGGAATTTGTCGGCGATAGACTAAAGGTCTGCCGCCGCGTTAGAATCCGGGTTAGCCGCGCAAACTGTTACGCCGGCCGAAGTTTTAAGACTAGCTATCCTAGCGTTAATTGAAATTTTAGCGGTATCGGGCGGCAAGTTAAGGTCTATTAGGTCCGCTTCCTTATTTTCGTTAAGTTCGCGGGTCGGTAGCTAAGATTTAGACATCCGCGGGAGTTGCGGGCGTACTATAGTCTAATCCGAATTCGCTAAGTTACCGGCTAGGCTTAAATCAGACTAAAACGCGCTAGCGAGAGTTCGGCCGGAAGGGCGAGGAGACTCTCGGTCTATTAGCCTAATTGTCTTATTTTCGCTAAGTCTATTTGTCGGTGCCTAAGACTATCGGGTCTTAAGCGCTTAAGCTTGCGTAACTCTATAAATAGGTTCTACTACGGCTTTTCTCGTTCTTAAGGATGCTCGGAATTCGCGAGTTAAAAGAGCCCGCACCTATAGGTCTATCGCGAGCGAGGTGCCTCCTAATTTCCGCTCTATAGACCGAGGGTCCGTATTAAACTTATCGATTTGCTAGATATCGTCTATCTGCAATTGCTGCAGTTTACCTAGTTTTCTATTGCGTAGTATTACTAGGTCGTCGTCGTAGCTAAGATTCCTAACTTAGACCCTAGGAAGCTCGGGTCCGGTAATATAGGCGTATATCGCCGCCGTGCCCGGGAATTTAGATTCGCCGGGAACAAAGAGGAGGTCTTAGTCTATACCCTTAAAAGCCGTTACTCTATTATATCGTACTAGAATTATTGCCGCCGTGCGTAGCGGCAGCCTAATTTAGTCGACAGCCCTAACATTAGCCCGTATTAGAGTCTTAGTTTTAGGTATATAGGCTACAGGCATTACGGCGCAGTCGTTTTCTATTATAACGACGTATCCGGCTCCGGTATAGAGTGTGAAGCCGGCGGGGGTTATAACGTCTATCCCGAGGAGTATGTTATGCGGTAAATTAGGCATAACTCTTACTAGCCATTCGATATAGGCGAGGGCAGGCTTTCTAGACTTCGCGAACATAGGGAAGTACATCGACAAATTAATCTATTACTCGCACTTTGTACTTCCGGCTAAACTACGAAATTCGAGAGGCTGCTTTAGATACTAGATGTTTTCTCGACCTAGCTAGGCGACTAGCCACTTCTAGTCTATTATCGATGCTTTTGTACTAGTGTCGAGGTATATGCGTTTAAATTCTCCTCCCGGAGTAAGAGCGTAGTTAGCCTCGACTATATCGTAATATCGGAACGTATAAGCTAGGTCTCCCGGCGGGAGCTTAGCCGTATATAGAATAATCTATAGTTGCTCTTAAACGTAGTAGACCTAAAGCTTTAGGCTATCAATGTCGTTAAATTTTCGCTTAGCTAGCTATAATGAATCTTCTTAATGCTTATCCGTAGTGAGATGCGTTTCGATATTCTAGAGAGAGCTAGTTCTATAAGATGCTAAATCGTATACTTTCCCTTAAGCCTCTATTAATAGACGTAAGGCATCTTGCTTATCTAGTAGTAAGCAACCTAGTAATTTGAGGCGCTCGAAAATTCCTATAGCTACTAGGTATTCTAGAGTTTCCGATAGACTTAGGGTTAAGCGCTGCGAGCTAGGAGTAACTAGTTTTACTTCTAGCTCGCGGAGTTTCCCGAAGCCTGCTCGAGGAGCACGTTAGTGCGTTTGCCGGAGGCGTCCTTAGGGTAGGCTTAGTCGAGGTAGGTAGTAAAAAACTCGTTAGCGGAGCGGAAAATCTCCCCGTATATATTATAGCGTATAGGTCGGCCGTCCTAGCGGTTCTTCTCTCGGGAAGGCTAGCTCGAGACCTCGGGTCTACGGCTCTAGGTCTAAGCATAGTAGACTAGAGATGCGAACGGGTTTATAGAAGGGAAAACCTAGTCCTCTTGTCCGCCGGCGTAACTAGCGTCTTCTTCCGCCTTATACTAATCTCCTAGCTCTTCTTAGGCGTCGAACTAGTCCTACTAACTAAGTCTAGATTCGTCGTACTTATCGCCCTACTCTCGGTCTATTAGGTCGTAGAAAAAGGCGGGCTCGGCGAGGCCTCCGTAATTCGCGGGAATGCCTTATCCTCTTGTATTTCCGGGCATCGTCTGCTATCTCTAAGGATTCGGATACTACGGGAGACCGCGCGCGTCTGCTATCTTCTCGTTTACGCTTGCGTTTGCGGCTTATAGTCGTTAGCGGCTATAGACTTAAGGTCTAGGCTAACGGCGCTGTTAGAAGGCGTTAGGTTGCTATCGATTGTACGGATTGTTATTTCCGAGAAAAGGCGCGCGTCTAGCGTTAAAACGAGACCTAGGCTAGAACCTTAGGTCTACGAACCTACCCTGCACTAAATCGCTACGCCGAAGGTTGTACTTACTACTATAGTAGCTAGCAGTTGTGCTGCCGGGTAGATACAGCTCTACCTACGTAGCGTAGTAGGCCTACATTATATCGATGAGGGTTTAATATATCTACAATGCCGTAGGTGTATTAAGATTACCTCTAAGCTCTAGCGCGATCTTGCGGAAGGCATAATTAATCTACCTAGCGAGTGATTCTATACCGCTCTACTAAGCGAGACGTATAACGTTAATAACGTACTCGCTTACGCTCCTACGGGCCGCGATATCCTCGATGCGGTATTGCTCTATCTCTATCTCGCGCGCGGCGACTAAAGGGTCTAATCGGAACTATTCGCGTAACGCCTCCTTCTATCGCTCGATCCCCGGGCCGGTCTATAGGAGCGTGCGTCGATTATTAGTAAGCGCGTATAGGTACTATTATAAAGCGGAACCCTAAAGGCATCGGTATAGTAATAGACGAAGAGTAGGAGCTAGGTATTCGCTAGCCTAAATAGCGACGTCTAGGCGCGTAATAAAGGCGAAAACATCTCGGTAGTATATAGTATTCCCGAAATACACTACCGGGCCTTTGCCCTTACTCTCCGGCAGGTCCTTATTAAAATACCCGATTTGCTCGGGCTTAAACTTATAGAGGGCGATTTCCTAGCTAAAATCTAACTAAGGAGTATACGGGGGAGCATATGCGTATACACCGTTATACCTAGGGTTAATATAGTTTCCTCGATCCCCGCGGTTCTATATAGACCTAAGGTTGCCCGTAGGTAGCTCTCTAGCGACTAGGACTCCCTAGGCTAAGGCCGCGAAACGCTCGGCGTTAATCTTAGGTCTAGTATAAGGGCGAGCATCTCGATTCCGATTAGCTTACTAGTCTGCCCTCGTTAGGCCGTAGCCTGCTCGGTTGCGTATCGGGTAAAGACCTATATATCGCGGCGGCCCGGTCGCTCCTAGATAGTCCTTATTCTACGGAGCTATATAGCCTACCTAGCTATTATTCCCTATCGCTTGTACTAATTTCCCTATAAGCGTTTCCAACCTGCTAATTCTAGTATTCTCGGCGTTGTTATTGCTATCTTCGTTATTGCCGGTATTATTCCGAGAGTTCGCTTCCCTCGGTCTTCTAGTAGACTTAGCGTTTCCTCGCTGTCCCGACGTAAACAGCTTACCCGTATTAATACGGTAGTTAGGTTGCTCCGACGGCTACGGAGCTCTGCCCTCGCTATTCTCTTTAGCGGCCGCTTTATTCTTAGCTCTTACGGCTTCCTAGCGGCCCTACTCGAAAGCCTCTTGCAATTTTTCTTAGATCTCGAGCTCGTAGACCTCTCGTTGCTCTACGAGGGCGCGATTAAGACGAGCCTAGTCGTTCTTACGCTATATTCCCGCTCTCTCGCGTTCTTCTCGCATTTGTTAAGCAAACTATTCTTTTATTTGCTATATAGCATTGCCGTTAGTAGGGGCTGCGGCTCCGTTAGCCTTGCCTAACATTTCTTGCTCCGGATCTGAGTCGGCGAGAGAGCTAAGAGGTAAAGTAGTAGATACGGAGATAAGGGAGCTTTCTCGAGGCGCTAGCGGGGGCTCTTTACGAAAAGAGCCGAAGTTCTTAAAGGCGTCGCCCTTAGGCGGATTAATTATAAAAGGAACCTTGCGTCTATCCGGCTTAGGGGCCGCTCCTATATCGTCTTCTACCGAAGGTTGAACCGCTTGCTTCTCTAGCTTTAGAGGTATCTAAGTTTTCCTACGACGAGGACGATGTTCGTTCTCTAGAGGCTCTTTAGCGGTAGACCTAAAGTTCTCGGTCTTCTACTAGGCGAAATGCTTGCTCTTTAGCTAGTAAGCTGTTAAACGGTCGACCTGTTGTACCGCGGAATGAGATAGAGAGTTATTATTAACCTAGTTGCTAATAATTTTAGAGCGAGTAGGAGGCTTAGGCGTAGTATCCCTATCGGTAGACTTAGCGTTCTCCCTTAACATAGATCTTAATCTACGAGGAGGGTCCGCTTCTTTAGGATCCTCTAGCTACTCGGTTATAGCGATAACGCGGAATTTTAGGTCTCCCTCTAGAAGTTTTGCTAGGCACTGTCTTAGCTTAGAAAAGGCTAGGAGGGTAAAAGCCGTATAGATAAGGTAGTATCTGTCCTTAGCTAATTCGGGAAGAGTGCAATCTTCCTAGGCGGTAGGCTATAACTTAACGGAAGGTTCCCCTTAGTTCTTCGGTACTATAGACTTAGAACAACAGGCCGTTAGTTAGGCTAGTTAAGGGCTACGCGGCTTCGGTGCTCGAGTGTCAAGCACGAGCGTAATTAGAATGTTAAGCGTAGTAGCGCACGTAGCAGTCGCCGTTTAGTTGTTCTAAACCTTCCTAAATTGCGGTCCCCGCTAACCTAGTATCGGGCGGACCTGCCTTCTGCAAATGAGGGTGTAAACAATAGAAAAGTGAAGGCGGCGGGGTGCCGGCGACGGCGGTATGCTTAGTCTATCGCCTATAGCCGCGTCGACTTATCGCTAGTAATTTCTTAACTCTTTCGCTTAGTATAGTCTAACTGCTACTTTCGTCGATAGTGCGGAAAATAGCGTTAGAGTAGGTCGTTAGGATTCCTCCTAGGTACAGAGGACCTTTTACCTTAGGAGAAGGAGGGGGATAGTGAACCGTAGTTCGGATAGTCCGTTTAGTAACGGTTAGTGCGTTTTTCTTACGCTAGTGCTTATAGCGAAGCTACTATTTTATTATGGTTCGAAACGTAGTTTTGAAGTGTATTGATTTATGTTATATCTATCTATCTACGGAGGAAGTATGCCTATAAGGCGGCTAGTAGTAGCCGCCTAGGTGTCCCTTCCCTCCTAGCTTCGTAATAGCCTTCCTCGTTAGTAGCAATATCGTAGAAGATGCTATTATCGTCTAGCAACTTAACTATACGCTTAGCTTAGTTATAGAGCCGCCGCTTATTAAGAGTCCTATTCTAGGCAATATTATAAAGATTATAAGGCTTTAGGATTACTCCTTTACTACGGAAGTAGGCTATAATCTTCGACGTTAGTATACGAGAATACTAAAGCCGCTCTAGTTACTCGAGGAATTTAGCCGTTCTTAATCGGGTCCGGTAAGTAGTAAGTACTATAATATCGTCCTTCTTATAATTATAATAGTAGTGTTCTTCTTTACTCGAATGCCGGATTTGCTACTTACTCTCTAGCTTAAGAGGATAGACAGCAATAGCGTAGAAGTAGAACTTATAGTCTATCTTCTTCGTCTTCTTTTATACCTTATTTATAGTATTCTAGGTGCGTTTATTAGGCAATCCGTAACACCTATAGATATATAAATAGCGATATTTAACGCCGTTCTTATTCTTCTTCGGCTTCTACTCCTTAAACTCGTACCCCTCCGATATACTAAATTGCTAGATATAGCGCTTAAGAGTGCTCTTCGAAGGAAACGTCGATTAACGCGGTATTAGACCTCGCGGTAGTAAGGGCGGCGGTTTAACGACAAACTCGTACTTCTAAGGCCGCGGCGATACTAACCTATACTTAGGTAACGATATACGCTCTCGCGGTAGCGATAGTAAACGCGAGCGACCTCGAATACGCGTCTCCGAGACTAATTAAACCTCCTCCTACGACGCGATATCTACCGCCGTCGATTATACGTCTTCCGCACTTTCTACTACTATCTCTATCGACTAAGCGCTTTCTACTACTATCTCTATCGACTAAGCGCTTTCTACCGCGTCTTCTACTACTACGTTACCGCCGCCGGCGATAAGATTATCGAGAAACTCGTCGTATAATAGAGATTTAGCTATTTTCGATAGTTACTAGGCAATCTACTATAAAAGGGGGAAGAAATGCGAATTTTAGGTCTACGGCAGATTCGGGTAGAATTCCTTCCTAGGTAACGCGCTACGCGCCTGTTAATAACACTAACTAAGAACGGAAATATCGTATATTAGGCGGAAACAGTACGTATTTAACGATATATTAATACAGGCGCGATTCTATATTAGTACTAGGTCTATATCTACTAGGGCTCGGGCTGCCAGCTGGGGCTCGGGGAAGTATCCAAGTAGATCGTATAGCAAAGATGGACGTGCGGTGATGTGCATAGCATCAGCATCGGCATCGGCATCGGCATCTCGGCGCCAGACACGAAGCAGAAGCGGCAAGCGGCACGGACAACGGACAGCGAACAGCGAACAGCGAATAGCGAACGCTCAGTCTCAGACTCAGAGCTGCCAAGCTTGCATCGGCCAACATGTTACATCTGTATCCATTCACACTGCAGTAGTACTGCCCTCCCACGCCACGCCTCGCCTAAGCACTTCTGGAAAGGCGCTATTGGCCGGCCGACATGGAATGCATGGAATGGCTTGAAGTTGAACAAGCACTAGCGGAATTGGTGGGGCCCGTCCGGCGTCTAGAATATCAATCCTGCACAGCGCCTGTCGACCCGGTTCGACGTGCGCAATATGGAATCGAATGCCACAAACAGCAATTCTCACACTTCAATACCCACAACACGGGCCCCTGCAACTTCCCATATCACTATGCCCGATATACATCCCTATGAAACGCGATGTGAGTCTGCGTCGAATAGCTATGCGCAGGGAAGCAAGCCATCAGAGAAACTATAAACTTCATAGTCGAACTTTGCCTTGTCCAAACCCAGAAAAGAAGGGCTCCCTCAGGGAGTCAAAGTCGCCTAGATCAGCGCCACCAGCCTGCCCTATACTGAGCATATCGCCCTAAGACGCCATTCATGCGCAAGTACAAGATCAGTATCACATCTCGCATACGAGCGGCATAGCAATTGCAATTATGGTGTATCCTGTTTTCAGCAAGCTCAACCTGCAAGGACACCTGCAGCAGTCCCGAGGCTGTCCATCAGATCGAGATCCTCCCTACAGAAGTACATATCCAGATCCATGTCAGCCGCTCCCAACTCGGGCTATTATTGTATCTGCTCTACATACATGCCATTGGCCATGTGACATTAACATCACCTGAGTCCGTACCACCTCAGCCTTCCCGTAGACACTACATCCCTTTGCAGTCGCATGACGACCTCGACGCTGACGCACTCAACCACCAAATGTAGGAACAAGCGCCACTATCACAACGTGGCCAGCGCAGATGACCTTGCAACCAAGTCTTGGAATCAATAATGATTATTCTGGTCTTGGAGTACACTCCATCCCAGCGCACGCGGCGCGTTCGAGTCGCATGACAAAGCTCCGAGCAAGATTACTGTGCTCTGACTCGGCCCGTTCGGTCCCTCCGAGAGGCTTCAGCCAACGGCAGACATCGACCTACCGACAGTACAGACAGCATTTCGACAACATTATTGCCAAAAGAAACTTCACCTACCAATCGATGGCACAAGCGACCGAGGTTTTCTGCAGCTCCACCGCGTATCCATGGCACCGATCCCCATAAGTCGATCACACAAGGCAAGGCTATACTACGTCTACATGCCATCGATCGATAATCGCGTGCGCGGTTCGGAATCATGGCCGACAAAAAGGCGGAACCGCATCCCACGAGTTCATTGGCCGCTGGCCCATCGCCGATAGCTTTGTAAGGGTGTAAGGTACAGTTCTGGTGGCTTGCGTTGCCTTCGGTCTAGGAGGGCATGGTGGCGCCCAGTCAGCATCTGCGTCTCCTGACCGCTACAAGAACGGCTTAGCAAACAGCCAACGACCCTCCAAGAAGAGCTCGCGGTCAGAATCCGGACAACTAATAAATGATACAGTAGTAACCCACGATCGACGCATGCATGCTCATCAACTTGCATGCCGGGCGATATCAGTCAAGCGGTGCCTCTGATAATACGTACCATATATTCGGGACTCCACGAATCACGATATGCAGGACCATTGCATAAGGTATGGAATAATGCCGCATGTCATAGAGATGTCATACTGCTGCCGGCACATGGCATGTACAGTCCGACTCGTGAGGACGTCTAGTCTGACCTCACTTCGCCCATCTCCATTCCATCATCGTGGGAACCTCACCACAATCCTGTTACATCAATGAGTTCAAGATGTCTTTGAAGCTTTTGAGCGACACATGCAAGAGAAGCGGCAGGGCTTCGCTCATGTCGCACGTCATTTGCGTCGCAAGTGGCTGTGAGGTTTCGGAACATACTAGGATAGCGCTGAGGAAGGTAATCTGCCAGTTCTTCGAGCAATTCGACCGCGCCATCGAAGACTCGCGGATCCGAGGGATCTGTCTTGCAGCACTTATGACCGCGCTCGGTAATGCGACGTGTCTTGTCAGCGTGGAACTTCAGGTAGTGGTTGTCGAGCTCGATCCATTCATCCCAATCCATACTGCGGAGCCCCATCGTGATACGATATGGGCCCCATCGAAATGGTCGATATGGTAAAGGGGCGGTATCTGTAACCGACCAACCTGGGTAGGGCGAAGCTTTTGGTCGTTGCCAGTCAACTGCTTCCCAAGCTAAAGTAATATTCAGCCATGCTTTGGTCCTCTTCGACTCACCAACTTACTGCCCGGAGTCCTTTCGGTCGGCTTTAGTCGCTTCGCAGGTGAACTAGACACTTCTTCGCGCTTTTCTGGATGTTCCGACGCATTGCTCGGCCACGAAGAGCGTTTGCGATTTCCCAGTAAATATGAAAGCATGAGACAAGCCAAGACGAGAAGACATCCACAGTATGCTATCGCTGGGACAGGACCGACTTGACCGCCGTTCATATGGTTTCGGATCTCATACAGAGTCGTCAAGTCGCAATGATCCTCGATCCATGCGCGAGCAGTATCGAGCCTTGCCTCAAGAACATCCATGGCCCAGTGAGTGGTGCGGGAGGCGAGGTCATTTTATGCTATCGGTATGGCATTGACATTATGGGCAGAGTAACGACAGTGTACTGCTCTGTAGAGCGCGTCTAACGATAGGGGAGCGCTGCTCGGCCGGAGAGATCCATGATAGAGATAAGGTACCCAAGCCAAGCCAAACCGCGTCGGGGAAAGTCTTCCCGCGCTTTTAGCGTGGTCAAGCGCAGATGTCTCTGCATGCAGATCACGCTGAACATGGGGCAGTCTCTACTATCACGTGACAGAAATTGACTGCTGGAAGAAGTCAACCGTCGGGTGATGTAGTAGTGGCCGGTTGTCTGTTCCAAAGGAAACAGCTTAGGAGTGGGGGACCGAGCTGACAGCACATCTTTGAAAATCTTCTCAGAGCAATGTCTCGATGCTGGGAAGTGGCTGCTTAGTGTCGCTTGCAGACTGCTTTCTTCGCTTCAGCAAGCAGTAGTCTCCATAGACTGGCTTGTATTTGAGTGGTACAAAAGGAAGATCTGGGATCCAGCCCAGTCGCGCGATCGAGTTGGTCGAGGTTGCATCCAGGAATGGCAAGCACTTCACCTTCTCCCAGTGCTGATCATCCGCAAGGAAGTTGGGCTCAGCGGTCGTTGTCTCCGTACTCGGCAGATTGACATCGACGATGAAGTTGCAGCGCTTGAGATCCGTGTACTTCCCAAGGTCTTCGCGATTTTCATCATTCATGCCTGGGGGAACAAGCCAGGTACCTGGAAAAAGACCGAAGCCTTGTCCAGCTTCAGAGAACTCGCCAGGGAGGAGGCCTCTAAACTCGCTTCGAATGAACTTGGCCCGCACTCCTTCCGGGAGGAGATAGTGTGAAGGAAAGCGATACCATTCCTTGCCGAGACAGACCTGGTCTCCAGGCTTCGATACTCCAGGCCGGTGTAGCGGCTCGTAGATCGATAACGGTGCTTGGTAGGCGGTCATGGTGCCAACGGTCCGGAAGGCAGCAAGTGCTGTGGCCAAGGTTACGAAGGCAATGATTGCAAGCAGCCGCAGCTGGACCGGGATCTTGCCGACAAAGTCTTTCGCATCGTTCGAGCCCAGATTGGCGAGGATGATATGGAAGGCGACAGCAGCGTTCAGTGCCAGGGCTGGGTATGCCGGGTACATGAAACGTTCCTCCTTGTGCGGCTGCAGGGTGAAGATGGCAAGCCACAGGTAGAAGGGTGAGAGGAAGATGGCGCCGCGCAGATAGCTTGCCTTGGTGGCAGCTTTGGCTTTCAGGAAGTGCTGAGCAAATAGCAGTGGCATGGACAAGAGGGCCAAAATGAGCCAGAGGTGGAAGTTGAGGAAGAGATTACGCAGGTAGAAGTGCCAGGGCTCAGTTCCGTAGAGATGTGGTCCTCTGGAGCTGAATACGTTGTACCAGACCATGTTCAGCGGCACGATGGTCAACTTTTTGTAGAAGAAGCAGTCGACTGCCACCTGGACACTGAGCACCAGCAATGTGCGCACGACTCCATCGACCACGCGCCAGAAGAGCTCTTTCCTGCCGACCCAGTCGCTCAAAGATGCCAGAAGCAGTTCTTCTCCCAGGAAAGGCAAAGCCATCGCTGCGGCGAATGGCCAGCCAATGCATGCACCAATCCCAAAGCACCATATTCCTTGAGCAGTTCGCAAGCCGCCACGCCAGTCCATGAACGCAGCGATACCCAGAGCAACACAGTACATGGCGAAGGCACTAGGCAAGTATGCAGTGGCGGCATGGTACATGCCCGGCGCGGTGATGGTGACGAACAGGTAGAAAATGGCGACGCGGGGATTGAGAGTCGATGTGATGGTGGAGAACAGTCGGGTCTCGCAGAGGGCACAGACCAGTCCGAGCACGATTCGGAGAAGATAGAATTGGGCGAGCTTTGGGGGAGCGGAAGGCAGGAAGGTGGCAAGTGGCGTGACGAGGGCATGGAGGGCGGCATATGTCCAGGAGCGGATGGCATATGCGGGGGAATACTCCCAGGTCTGGAAGCCGTGGCCGTGGTTGAGGTAGTGCGTCGCTTCCCAGTAGTTGAAGACTTCGTCGCAATCCTGAACAGGGCTGTACAGTGCGGCGACGAGATGGCTCCCGAACAGCACGCAGAAGGCTGCGCGTGCGTCGAGAAGGACTGCATACGGCGCGTGTGCTTGGCGTGGAGGCAGGCCGGATGGCAGTTGCACTTTTGTCGGCCGGTGAGGCGACTTTGACGCCGTCCTTGTCCTGGCTTGGCCTGCGCCTGCCTTCTTCACGTCTTTTGGCGCCATGGCCATATTGGCGCGGTGGTGTGGTGTGGGTGTGGGTGGTGAAAGTTGGGGCGCGCTGCAGTGGCCAGTGGCAGTGGGTGGAAAGGAGCCGTCGGAGGAGTGCCGGGACGGAGCTCTATACACACCAGATTGCCGGCATGCAGGGTCCGGGAAGCTCTGACTTTTTTCGAGGACCAGACGCTCCTTCCAAATCATGAGCTAGCCAAGCATACATGGCAGGTCCTGTTGAAGAACATCACTTGTGCCATCCAGACGAAGCAAGGCCTGCGAAGCGCGTGCGACGAGAAGCTGCATCAGAAGTCACCGCAGAGACACGACACGAAATGGACGACGACGACGATAATTGGGACGACGTCTACGGCGCTGCGAACGCGACCACATCTGCCATACCACCGCCCAAATCGGCACCTCATAATGCTGCGCAGCCTACACCTGACCCCCAAGAAGACCGTGCATTCGAAGCGACGACGGCCATAGAGCGCGAGCCGTCACTATCGCATGCTCAACATGGCCAATCTGGAGGCGGTGCACTGAAAACAGAGACGACTGAAGCAGACGTGCCAATGCTAGACACTGATGGCCTGAATGCACCACCGAAGGTGATAGAAGATGCCGAGTTCATGGCAGCGGCGGCAGCGCAGAAAAGCAGCAAGCATGCCGAGTGGCGGTTCGACGAGTCAGATGCTGAATCTTCGTCAGATTCGGACACATCTTCGGACTCTTCAGATGACTCGGATAGTGGCAGCGATGATGGCTACGAGATGCTCGATCCCGCAACCGCAGCCAAGATACTCATGAGCGGAGATGGAGACGAAGACGGTGATAATAAGGGCGGAGGCAAAAGCGGCGGAGATCATCAGCCGCGGACGGCGAACGAGGTGAAGGAAGAGATCGTGCCCAAGCCAGACCTGACCATCACTCCGGAGACAAAGTTGACATTCCTCGGAGTAGTCGACAAGACAGTCGAGAATATGGCGCTTATCAAAGGCGCCACACCTGGCGAATATCAGGTTCTCGAAAGCGGCTCAGTTCTCTGCAACGAACAGCGCCAAGTCATTGGTGCCGTTGCAGACACATTTGGCAGAGTCCAAGAACCCCTGTACAGCGTCGCTTTCACGAACCAGAAAGAGATTGAGGAATTGGGCCTGGAATACGGCGCCAAGGTCTTCTACGTCGACAGTCACAGCACTTTTGTCTTCACGCAGCCTCTCAAGAACCTCAAGGGCACAGATGCCTCCAATATACACGACGAGGAAGTCAACGAGGATGAGATGGAATTCTCAGATGACGAAAAGGAAGCTGAATACAAGCGGCAGAAGAAACTGGCCAAGAGAGGTGGCAAAGCTGCATTTTCGAGGAGTGACTTCAACCAAGGTAACATGTTCAGTACGCCTACAAATGATTACGGGCAATCCTACGTCCGCGGTAATGACGCGCCTTCTCAATCCTATGGTGGCGGAGGTTTGAGCTACGATGATGACGACGCCGAAGCGACTGGTGGCTTCTATGAGCCCTTGAAGCGGCCTGACAACCTCGACCAACTTATGGATGCTCCTCCACCGCGTCCGCAGCAGGGCTTTGATCGTGGCCGAGGTAGAGGACGCGGCGATCGTGGACGCGGCGATAGAGGGCGCGGTCGCAGCGATCGCGGTAGAGGAAGAGGTGGCTTCAATCAGCGAGGAGGTAGAGGAGGACAGCATCAGCCTCAACAGGCCTTCTCGCAACATGCTCAACCTCGTCAGCCCTCCTACACGCAGCCCGACACAGCTCCCGCCTCCACAGCGCCCTACCAACAATACGGCCACCTCCAAGGTCCGGGCCCATCCACTTACGTGTTCAACGGCCAGACCTATCAGTACAACGGACAGCAGTACCCTGCACCGGCAAGTCAACCTCAATACTATGTTCAACAGCCCAGTACATCCGCCCAGCTACCTTCCGGGACGTTTGTTAATCCTGCATTCTATCAACAGCAAGTGCAGACTTCGCAGCAGCAGCCTTATGGTGGATGGCAAGGCCATTACAACCAAGCTTACGCAGGCGCGCCTGCTCCACATCAAGCGCAAGCTTCCGGACAGCAAGGTCCCGACATCAGTGCAATTTTGCAGAACTGGACACAACAGAATGGCAAGCAATAAACTGGATTGCCTCCAAAAACGAGGTATATGAGGATTAGCAAGCGTCGCAAAGATAGGCTGCAGATGTTATGTCTGATCTGAGTGCCCCAGCTAGTTTCGCTGGACTGAGTTGTGCCCTGCACCCTTCGCTGTAACGGCACGGTCGATCCGCTGTCCAAGCACCTTTGCCTCAACCTTCTGGCTCAGATCGTTGAAATACCATCGTCGCGCTGGTATGACTATGGCTCTGATCCGGAGTAGACAGATCAAATTCACACTGGTAGGTGCGCCTCGTGAGTACCAAAGCTCAGTTTCTCCCTCCTTTTTTACATGACTTGCCGCCACGTGGGCGCTTCTACTGCCCTATCTCGAGATATGATGTTCTCGTCTTGCCGAAGATCATGGCGTCTGAGCAAATTTTATTTTCGCTAACCCGACAGCATTTCTCCTCGGCGGACGATCGCGAGGCTGCTGATTGCACAGCCTGATTCTCTTGGGCTGAGGACTCCCGCGTGTTCCCCGGGTCTCTCGTTCAGCATTCCCTCCATTTAGGGTCGAGACCTCGCTTTGGCCGCCTGCTGATTGAGGGATATGGTCATGTCCTCAGATCCATAATTCCGCCTCGATGAGGACAGTGTTGATATGGAGCAGTCCTCAGCCAATATAGAAATCACATTTTGCGAGCTTCCCTCTGCTACAAGTTATTGACAATACACAGCAAGCAACCGATCACGTCTCCTCATCAATCACGAAAATTTCAGGGCGCAAGTCAGACATCACAGCTGTACACGAGCAGCGACGAGCTGGAAATACTCGTTATGGAGAGCCAGCAGGAGCGCGAGCAGCCGAATGGGATGCAGCTGCAGCAACAGCAACAGCAACCATGCAACCTTTTTGGCAGCAGCAGTGGCCTTCGCAGTTGCCAAGGACCTGCGTCGAAAGCTACTGTCAACAACACCTCAACACCTCAAGCATACACCCAGCCAACACCGTCTCCCTCTGACGCCTTTGCGCTCGGCGGCTTCAACAATCCGATCGTTCTCGATCCAGAACTTCGGAAGCCTCGGCCGGACCAGCAAGCGCAGGAGCAGGCCGGTGTCGATGTGGAGCTTCCCCAGAATGATGGCGACGACTTGCCCGATCTTGGTACGGCGAACGATGAGGTTGCCGTTGCTGCAGGGCCAAACGACGACGGATCGCGACTTCATTCGCAGCAGCCAGCTCGACCGAATGCATCTGACTTGAGTGCCAGAACACAAGCGAGTATCGTCCACAAGCAGCATCTGGATAAATCATATCTCAGAATCTCGCCAGATCTGGCGGAAAAGGTGCAGGAACTCACACGCGGTAAAGGTTGGCCTCATCAAAAAGTCTGGCACTGGTACTACAACGGTATGCCGGTCGAAGAAGCTCCTGGGGTAGCCAATGATCCGCCTGTGTCGTCCGCGCCGCTCGAGGCGCTCGAAAGCGAAGGTGTCTATGAATTTTTCGATTGGTATCACTACCGCTTCCGCCGCAGGTACGAAGGTCTCAACCCTCGACAATGCAAGATTGTGCGATTTTCCGGTATGGATGTCGAGGTGATGCTGCTGGCAGGGAACGACGCAGGACAAGAAGGCAGCAAGATTTTGCTGGATCACATACTCAGTGCGAAGGAAGAATTCCCCAATCTCGAGGAGCTTTCTTTCGCGGAGTGTGTGTTTGGTCCTCCAACAGAGGCCAGCTGTGGCATCAAGGAACTCTTCAGAACCCGATTTGCCCACAAATGCCAGTTGACCTGCACCGGCGCCTTTGCATGGTGCTTAACTTTCAGTGCCACTCATCGTGGTCATCAAGGAGACGAAAAGCCTCGCACTGAAAACTTCAAAGTATCAATCACACACTTTCGAGCAAAGAAAGCATTCGATGAGGAACGGGCCAAATTGCGATTGCTATGTCAAGAATTGGGCATCGAGACAGTCGAAGAGCGTTTGTGCCGCGATGTCGTGGATGACATGGACGGCATTCGGCACAAGTTCGAACACTCGAGTGACTTCACCAGACTCATGGAACTGCGACATGTCCTTGCTTGCTTGTCAATCCAGAGTACTCTGGAGCGACAGATTGAAGACCATAAACGCAACCATAAAGAGACAGGCTTGGTTCAGACTGAGCCTTGTAAGGGTTGGGCTAGCGCAAAGGGATGTTATTTAAGGTTATCTCACGCATGCAAGACTGTTCGCCGCAGGATGGAATTTCGACAACTACTGCTCGTAATGCCAGCTGGATTCCATCTCTTAGCTATCGACAACTCTAAAAGCTCACATGCCTGGAGAATCTTCACTGAGGCGATGACGTTCGCTGAGACTTGGTTTCCACGACTGTTCTTCACAGATGACCTGAGGGTGAAGTACGGCAATCCTTGGACGACCCCGGAGACGATAGAAGACAAGGAGCCGGCGAGTACCACTGGAGGAAGTCAACCCGTCGCATCGGATGATACTAATAGTGCGGTCGATACGCCTCAGCCATATAGCGGCGACGGAGGTGCCCTCGCGCCCTCAAGAAAGCTCGCTGGACAGGACAATGATAGAAGCAATGAGCGCCGAAGCCCGAGTGAGGGCCAGAGCCAGAAAAGACTGCGATCTGACGAACCGTCATCAACGAGACCTCGCCGACGAAGGAGGCAGGTGGGAGAGGTGCTCATTTTGCCCAAGCAGCCAGCCGTTTCGAAGTCAAATGCCGAAAGGGTTCAAGAAGCGTCCGGCAGTGTTCCCGCAGAAGCACAACCTACTATGCCGAGTGAAAGCATTCGAGAAGCGGCGCACAGCAGCCATCTCGCAGAAACACCGAGTGAGAGCCCTCAGCCATACTATTCAGATCCAGGATCTGATTCTGCAGCGGGCTGGCAGCAACATGAGAGCCAAGCATACAATGCTGCTGCGGCTCAGCTGGGAAACAAATATTCCCCCAACATTGGCTTTTTAACTCCCGAGGACTACGAAATAATGGCCCATAACTTACTTCAGATGGCGCCAAGTGACAATACCCAGCTTCATCCATCGTATCCGCCATTCGATTCTGCAATGGGCTAGCAGCGAGACGAAAGCCGTACTCCTTCTGTCACAGATCGACTGCAAGGACAGCCTGAGCCTGGCGACGGCCTATTGAGCCCGGAGGACTAGGAAGTCCTGGCCGAGATCGCAAGTTAGGAGCAACAGCAAGGCTTTGGAGACGCAGCAAGGCCTTAGAGACACCAATAGAAGTGATGGAGAATCGACCTTTGCATTCTTTCGCCGGATTCGGCATTTCTTTACTACACCTATACAAAGAGATGACGTTCTACCACACAATTCATTCAGACCTTGCAGCGACCATATGCTTGCTACACCACCTGTCCAGCAGCATTCATAAAATCCGCCATGAGTCGTAACTCTACGACACGATTGGAGCCGTGGTCGTGACGTCGCAGACAGTAGTGTAGTCTCGAGCACAGAGCACAGAGCGCACTGCCGCACTGCTTGGCAGCACCATCCTACATCACCGCAATCCTCCTCGTCGCCCTTGGAAACAATCCTCCAACTCATCAACGGAGAACCGGAATCCTTTCTTATCATCAAAACTCCACTGAATCTCCTCCAACCACAACGAAAGACAACAATGACCATTCCATATATCGATGAGGATGAGGCTAGATATGAGGCCTTGGCTGCTGAGTTGAAGAGGGAGCAGTGGTTAGTTTTCGGATTGAGGATCCTTTGTGGGATTTTGTTGGTCGTGATATTTTTGCAGGGTATTGTGGATAGCTGGAAAAGCAGGAATGATCTGGCGAGAGGGGTTGTCGAGGAGCAGTTTGCTAGGCGGGGATGGTAGTAGATAGGGAGGTTGTGATGATGAAGATATTTTTGGGACTAGATGATGTCTTGTTTTTTTTTTCATCTTCCCTGTGATTTGAAGTGATGATACGGATTTTTTTTTGGAAATTCGGTTTTCGAAAGCTACGGTAGGAACTAAACGTTATGACTATCAAGAATCATACCTCGCCGGCCTCCTCCTCTCCCTCGTACTCCTCCTCGGCGTCTGTTCCACAGCCACACCCTTTTCCACCGCACCCTTCGAACTCACCCTTTTCGCCTTCGCCTTCGCCTTCGCCTTCTTCGGCGTTCTGAAAGCCCTTCCACAAGCCTCACACTTATTCTCCTTCCTTTCCTTCCTCTTCGGGCTGGGAGGCTGATGAGACTTGGTCGGCGTATTTGGCAATCTCCTCGGCTGCTCCAATCGATTCGCGTAGCGCAACGGCTCGACTTTCTTGACTTTGGGATCTTTCCAAGCTGGACGGGAAGACGTGGAGCGGGAGTTGTGGAATTGTGTTGCGAAAGGTGTGCCGGGAATTGGGATGTCGGAGGCTCGAGGTGTGAGTGGTGGTGTTCGCGGTGAGCGCACGATGTCGTCTGAAGAGGATGATGATGATGATGATGATGATGATCCTGGCGCATCTGGCATGGGAGTATCGATGACTGTTCTGGGTGAGGTTTGAGTTTCCCCGTCGACATACTTCACAGGTCCTCGCGAGAAATCATCGAAAACGTCTCCATCCCAGTCAAAGTCGCAACTGTAGGGATTTCCTGTTGCTGCTAAAAGTTCCAATTCTTCTTGTTGCTGTCGATCAAACTCTTCTTCTGCTTCTCTCATGTCCTGGTCGAAAATCTCTTGATCGGATCCAACGACTTCCCGTCCTTCGTGCCAGTCGTTGTTGTAAAAGTCCTCATCTGGGAAGTTAGTAGCATCGAAGGCAGGTGAAACATCATAGCCGAGATCCTCTGCTAGGTTGGGATAGGATGGAAGGTTGTCGCGCAATTGATCGCCGCCGGAGCTGAAATCGGGGCCGAAGGTGGAATCTCCTTCGTAGGCTGGATAGCCTTGGTTTCCCTCGGGAGGCAGATCTTCAGCGTCACCGGGCTCATCCTGTGCGGTTGCAGTTGGACCAGGTGCATCGCCTCCATCATCGTCATCTTGGTCATCATCATCTTCGCTGCCAGGTACCAGATCGGGCATGTCCGAATCGTTCTCGCTGGAATTGGAATGACTGCCAGTGTGAGACTCATCCTCTTCTTCGTTCGAAGCCTGCTCGTGGTCATCCTCTCCAGCTCGAGCAATCTCTGCCAGAAGTTGATCGATTGGAGTTATCGGCGGGTCAACACGATCATTAATCTCTGGTAGGGTCGACTCGCCAGTCTCATCATCAATCTCCTGCTCAACAGAATACCAGACCTCCTCGAAATCGGGTATCCATTCGAACAACGCATCACTGGGCCAATCTGCAGATTCGAGCCATTCGATCAAGTCAGTCACAGCATTACTGGGACGTGACAAAGTGCGGCCTAAAGCAGTCTCCCATCTATCCAAGATCTGACTGAGATCCATTCCTCGACCGATAGCAGCATCAACAGCTCTAATGAACCGATCCCGTGCGGACGGAGGATAGATTTCGGCTGCAGCATTGTGGACGGGACCTCCTGGAGAGTATATGTGATGACGCCATGCATCGAAGATCTCGTTGAAATGCGTAGAATCTTTAGATCGCTCCCAGACGAATCGCGACAAGGATTCGTCGTCTTCCAACACGTCTGAAGGCACCATGCGAGTGAAGTAGTAGGCCAGCACAGACACCAGCCTCCATGAACGAGCTGGTCCCCATGCACGCCTTCGTAGGTCATGGAACAGTTCTGTGAACTGCCTAGCAGCTGTGTGACGGAAGTCTGTGAGGAATCTGTCGGATGTATGAGAAGGAGCAGGGCTGTCGGAGGGGAATCGTATATATGATTGCGCTGGTGATGGCGATTTTCGTGCTCGTGGCGACGCGCTTTTCTTGGGCGATGGAGTCTTATCCTTGATGGAAGAGTTGTTAGACTTGCTCGATGGCGATCCTTGTGCAGAGTGATATGAATTGGTGCTTCTGCTCGCTGGCGACCCTCGTGCTGTCACATAGGATTTGCTAGTACTTGTTGGCGAAGATCCTTCCTGGCTGCGAAAGGTCTCGACGTCTCCATCACTGTCATCGCTGCTTGAAGAAGAGGACGAAAAGCTTGACTCAGAATCACCCGAATGATCTTCAGGTCCGTAGAGCTCACGTAGGCCTTTCACCCAATCGAGTAGCTCTTCTTCGGGGTTAAGCTGGTCCAGATACGCGAAAAAGGTTGCAACAGGATTCGCATTGAGTGAGTAGCCTCGCAGTGCCTGCAACAAGTACTCTACGTTGAATCCTCGTGACAGGAGCTCGGCAAAAGCTTCGCGAACGACGACCCTCTCGTGGCGAGGTACCAATTTATAAACTGCCTGCTCGAGGTCTATCTCAACCCAGCCTATTTGCGTCTTGAGTTGTTCCTCGCCTGGCTTATAGAAAGTTCTGATCAAGTCGACGCAAGCGTCATGATCCTGATAAAACTGATCCTCAGCGTTGCTGAAGTGTTCGTTCCAGACGTGGTACACCGTATTGAATGCATCGACAGGGGAGATATGTCGGCGATGAAACCACAGGATTTCATCAGCGAATGCCTCGATGATATTGCGGTGCATGATATCATGGCGCTCTTCTGCTTCGTCATCAAGATATATGAACGAGGGGTGCCATATTGTTCGACCGCCAGGAGGAGGAGCCAGCTCATCATTTGTCCACTCTGGTGCAACGAGCCTCTGTAACGCGGGAACCCACATGAAGAGAGCATTCTCTGCATCCCAAGATGTCTCCTCTCGAAATTTGTTGAATGCATCGTCGGGATCGCGCTCTGTTCTAGCACATCGCTTCAAGATGGCGTTCAGCAGATGAACATCGAATCCTTCGTCTAGGCGATGGGAATATAGCATGAAGAGCTTGTGGGCTAGGTAAGAAGGCTCGATTTCTTCGTATAGGCGCATAAGATATTCGCGTTTGAAGGGATCGCAGTACATGGACTTCCAATCATCGTCTTCGGCGGCGTCTAGAACTCGCTGAGTCAAGCCTGGCGTAGTCTCTTTGCGGTAAAGCAAGTCTCGCTTGGCCTGATCGAAGAAGCTTGAGATGAGCATCCAAGAATCGGTTGGCGACCATCCTGCCTGGCTTAGAGTGCGGAAGACGTCCCGATAGATGGCCATGATTGTCTTCGCGCGGCTGTGCCACGAGGGAACGTCAGGTATAGATTCGAAGTCTTCATCTTCACCGGTCCCAGGAATTTGGATTGAGAAGGACTGTTCGTCAATTTCGTCGGATTCGGCTACGCCCTCGATAGTCTCGCCGTCTATGAGCTTCTTGGTACTGATGGCACCGAGTTGATCGTCGACTGGCTCGTCTTCAATATCGCCTTGTGCGCCATCTACAGGAGGATCCTGCTCAGGTTCCCAGTCCAGGTTGTCTTCTTTAGGCGGATTGCCGAAGAGCCAATTGAATGGCCACATTTTTGCTGCCGTAAAGCGTCTGCAGCGTCTCTGCTGGACCAGCGGAGTTTGGATGAGCCATCATTCTTGACTTGCGGTTCGACAAAGAGATTGTTAGTGATTCGCCGGATCCGGCGATACCATTTGAAAGTCTGTGAACGATTATTGTTCAACAAAGAGCCGCATGACTTCTTGAGCTTTGGAATGCACTCATGGCCTCAATCTCTGGATCTCGCTGTCCAGCATTGTTGTCATTGCTTGACAGCATGATCGGCTCGTTGTAATACTATCATTTGCCTGGCTGCACTCTCTGAGACTGTACACAAGTCAAAAACAGATGTCATCATGTATCGAGAGACGTTCTGACAATGTTCGAATCGTTAGGGTGGCTTTTGAAGTGTAGCTAGAGAAAATATCGTCCTCTGAATGTGTAGGCAATAGTGTTCGTGGTTTCCTGTTCGGAAAGCATAATGGGCCAAAGTGAACTTCATGAAGCCTTTGTCGAAATTTGAACACTGAGGGTTCGACCAGAACATCATGTCTCAACAGTGACATTGCCGAGTCAGGTCTTCGGGCGTTGATTGCTGGTACATAGTCTATCTCCGTTTCAGCCCCTTGCTTTTAGGCGTAAGGAGGTTTTTGTGTGGCAGGTGGTGGGCTCTTTTCGACCATTCTCAAAGGAGTATATGGCAGGTATGCTCAGCTCTTTCCTTCCAACCATTCTATATCGGACAACCGCGCGATCGAACCACATCTAACCACACTGACCTCCTTGTCGGTAGCTGGTAGTGTAGAGTTCGCAGTGGTAAGTCGGCCAAAAAATGTGAAAACGACCCGGATCGTCCCCAAAAAAATGTATCTATCAACTTCCTGTGATCATTCTGAATGCCAAAAAGAGGTGATAGCACTGCTGAATCGAGCTAGGAAAGATTTCGTAGTGAACTTCTCGCCCAGAACAGCAAAAAGGAAGTAGCACCACTCGGTTTCGATCCGAGGCCCTCCGGGTTATGAGCCCGGCGCGCTTCCGCTGCGCCATGGTGCTTGCTTGTGATTGGACGGCCCAGTGAAACTTTTTATCGTACAACAAGCTCCAAATTTGATGAGTGAAGCCAGTTCGAGATCCTTGGCAAGGACGTGTTGAAAAAAATTCTAGTGTGTCACATGTCAGCCTTGGCAAGCCACGCTTTGACCCGAGCATATCTCCTAACCCCACGACATCGATTGAACTGGAGGCATACAAAAGCATGACCACAGGCCATACCAACGATAAAGTGGGTAAGCAAAGAGCAGTGTACGAGACTTCGGACACGAATCAAGCACAGTGTTATACTCTGCGGCAAAGGTCGTTGTTCTGCTCAGCGGGGAGCTGCTTCCGGCATTCCAGCCGGAATTTTATCCATTTCCAAACCTCAAGCTTGCATTCCTGAAGCAGTCCTTCCTCCTCCGGCTTCAACCTTTTCAATGTGAGTCCTCGATGGACACGACTTTCCTCGGCGCTTTTCGTCCAACTCCTTCGAAGCGAACGCGCCTTCGCCAGCGAGAATTCGGCAAGAAAGAGAAGGATGTCGAATAGTACGGGTGGAAGAGCTAGAAACACATAGCCGGAGGCTCTACGATGAATTGAGCGGCGTCGTGTCTCGTTGGCAAATGCACACGGCCATGCAAACTGCTCATGTCCGCTGTTCAGTAATGCCTGAGATCCGATCCACACACATACAGCATATTGCTTTTCAGCCTGCTGTTCAGTATTTATACTAGACGATCGTTGCACGAACGACCCTTCTAATGCTACTGATTGCTGAGCAGAAGGCTTCAACTCGAGTGCGAAGCCATCCCCTCTGAAGGCACCACGATGTTCAGCTGCATGCCAAAGGCAAAATGCTTTCCTTTGATATCTTTCCCACTGGCGTCAATGATATCCACCACTTGCTTCCAACTATCGAACAAGGAGCCTATGATTGACACTGACCCTCTGAACTAGAGAGCAGAAGCTTTGGCACTGTATCTGCACGAGAGCGCTATGAGATATAGGCATGGAGGGTTTGACAATATACAGCCAGTCGATATGCTCCTCGATTACGATACACGAGACCCAACGATTGGAACGAGCCGATTCTGTTTTCACGGTCATCATATTTGATATTTCATTTGTACAGATATAGAGTCAACGCAAGTTGGCGCTTTCCTTCATCTTCTTCTCGGCCTCCCAGCGAGCCTATCCTCTACAGCCGCAATATGATTCCTGTTCTTCAAATGTACACCGAAGTGATCAATGACCTTGTCTGGAATTGCGGTATAAAGTTTGCCAGGACAGTCGTTGCATTTGATTCTAGGCAGCCATTGGAATTTTCGACCAGCGGGAACAGGATCACCGACTGCGAATGAGCCTTTAGTGAGCTCGCCGGTTTTGACGTTGATGACATATGATCGCATTAAAGGTGTGAAGTCGCCGTCTGGGTGGGCTTCACTAAGCTGTGCTAAAGCGGAATCGAGCCAAGGCGGTGGGGGAGGCTAGAAATTCTCGTTAGTGTGAGCTACGGAATTTGAGGTCGGTAGACGTACTTCTGATTCAGGAGCAGGCCAGCGGTCTACAGTTACTGCTCCCTTAGAATCGTATGTCACGTTAGGTTGCTGTCGCACCGACGAAGGTGCGCGAGAGTGGGACCCATTCGGTTGCGGTGTGCCTCGTGGTGGCAGAGATCTTGGAGTCATCGATGGCGTCGAAGTCGCTCCTGGACCTGGAGTTCCAGGTGCAAGATTTGCAGGTCCGGAGGCATATCCAGATAGAGGGAATTCTTTCGCCCGCTTCTTTGCCTGGAAGTCATCCCACCATTTCTTGTACTTCGCACGGCTGATGTGAAGCTTAACAATGAGCTTCTCGTCGTCGGCATCCGCTTCCTCGCGAAGCCTACTAGGTCTCGCCGAGCTTCGCGGCTCCGGAATCGAGGCGCTGAGTATTTGAGAATCTGGTGTTTGCGACCGTCCGTAGCCAGCACGCATGTTGATCTGGGCTGCTGCAGCTGCGCCACGCATTCCACGGGTTCGTGCAGTGCCTGCAGTAGGTAGTGCTGTCGGAGCCGGAGACTCTGCGCCAGACTCTTCGCTGTCCAAGTCATCAGAGTCAATGTCCCCATCAGTGACACGCCCTCCGCGACGACCTCCTCTGCCGCTTCTGCGCGTCTTGAGGATGCCAGTAGTCTCGAAAGTCTCCACGGCGCCAGGTAGGACCGAGTGCACGAGCAGTGATCGTACAGTTCGCGGCTTTTCTCTGAGATCTGGAATGGCAGGACCGCCACGCCGGTTTAGCTGTCGTTTCTGTGCTCGGTGTTCACGCATCATCGAAGTTTCTGTTCGTTCAAGCTCAGCTTCGCTCATCTCGTACATGTATGGCGTGAAGTCTTTCTGGGTCTGAGGTGGTCGGAAGGCGCTGTGAATGGGTGCTGGTAGAAAGCCATCTCGGACTTCTGGGTCTTCGATTATCCTGCCATCGAAAGGATGATTTGTCAAATATAAAGCTTTCGTGTAAAGCTGACTCTGCTCTCTTATCGAGTGTGCAATGGCTGTGGTAAACTCTCCAGAAAGCGCGTTCTCTGATGCCATTTGGCGCGCGAATTCTTCAGGCGAGTTGAGTGGATTATTTATATCCCACTCGAACTGGTCCACAAGAGTAATTCGTCCAATTGTGATGTTGAGTTTGATCTGTATCCGCATCTCGTCGTCCTTGTGATCGTGATAAGGCCGTCCGGGCTCTAAAGCTCCATCTTCAACTATGATGTGAGGATAGAAGTTCTGCAACTGTTCCTGAAATTCCGCCTTGACCTGTCTCGAGACCTCTTGTAGATTCTCCGGTGGCACTTTCAAATCTTCAAGCAGGTAGTCCGTGAATAGATCTTGCGATATACACTTCTCGTGCAGATTCCAAGTAAAAGTATCGCGCAATCTCAGTTTTTCCAATTCAATATCCAAGCGTATAGGGACAAGCTCTTCATGCTGCTCCGCCTGTTGTTGCGTGTCCTTGCGATTCACGTGCAATTCTCGCGACTTTCGGCCTTTCGGTGGTCCGCGGTTGTTGCTATACACGATCTGGCTCTTCGCATTTGTAGTGCCATTGCCAAATCCCGCGAACCCGTAGCCGTATATCGAGCCTGGATCCGCTCTTCGGCGCTGAGCTACCTCGGTCACGTAGAACTCCTTTTCTCTCTCCTTGGCCAGAAGCAGGTCGCGCGACCGCTCTGACTGATCATTCATCGCCGCGCCATGCAGCAGGTCGCGTTGAATGTATCTGTGCAGCAGGATCTCATCATGCGACGGCTGAGGTCCGTTCGTGTCCTCGCTGTTGCCGCTATTCTGGCTAACAGGTAATTGTGTGCCATCTCGTGATCGTTTCCTAGACAATCGGGGAGCTCCATTTGTTTGCGCTGAGCCATTCGAGCCGTTCTGCTGCGCCGGCCCGGGCGAGTCGGTGTTCATCGCGTTGACAGTGTCTCTCGCGGCCTTCTTGCCTTCCCGAATGGACTCCTTTCCTTCCGTGTTGGATCCTTGCTGGTGGTTTGATGAACTCGCGGCATCGCTGTCGACGGGTTGAACGGCGCCTGGCTCGCTCGCGCTGGTCGGCCAGGCGTTCGTTGACATGGCTAGGGCGAGGATATGCTAGGGCGCGCGATGGATATTCATCGAGGCTAGATGCTAGCTTCTGGCCTTGATCAGTTCTGATTGAGGTAAAATGCGGCGCTTGAGACATTGCTGTGCTCGGATGGGTGGTGCGGTGCGGTGCTGTTACACGTGCAGAGCGCGCAGGGAAGTCTAAGGCGCGAAGGGATGTGATGCCATAGCGCATGTGACAGTCGGATGGGTGAATGGAAATAAACATACCTCAACAACAGAGACACGGGCCTGGACTTACTTGTGCACCACGCGCCGCGATAAACACGTATAAGGCCGATGCGATCTGATCTCGGGGGCTGGGGCTGGTTGGAGACGGCCGCCAAGCTTCCGGCTGTCGTGATCCTGCCTCCTGAAGCAAGCACGCGAACGGCACTGCACAACAATGTTCTCTATAGCAAAGTCAATTCGTCACCACGCACATTATTCACATTGGCCATGCCGGTGGAATGCCTGCCGAGAAGCATCATACCGCGCCTCGGGATGAGGAAGCTCAATATCGGGGAAGGTACTGTAAGCGTGGCCAACGACTGGATCGGCACTACTGCATCACCTGCCAGATACAAAGACCCAGTCTGCCGCCTCCCGCTATTCAAGCATACTCTGGGCCTCTGAATCCATTGGGAGCCCGTCAGCCTCTGCTTCTCGTGTCACGCTGCCCGAGCCTGCTTGTTCCTTGCCATGTTTCTCATCACGATACGATCACGTGGTATATCGAGCCCCAGGCTGCAATCTCGGCCCAGCGGCCGTGTGAGGGTATCGATCATGATCATATATGCTTCTTCGCGAATGTGTCCTTCGCGAATAAGGTCGCTAAGGGCATTGTGAGCGAAGGCTGAGGTAAGAAGTGCGGCTACTAATGCAGTGGAAGAATGAACTAACAGAGAAGAATCAGTCTTGGTGGCTCAGGACCTCTTTCCATTGTCGTCCAGTGTACATGTCCACCGCGACAAGCACATTCTGAGGCGTCTCCAACGCCTACATGCACCGTTCCAAACGTCAGAACTATGCTGCTATGCCTCTGGTCCCGCGAGACCGCGAGACCGACCGAATCTATCCCCAAAAATGCAAAATCAGTGGTTCGGTCTTCATCCCTCTCAGCCTCTCGCTTTGCAACTCGCCAATTTTCACGCATATTGTCTTTCTCATCAAGGTTCTCATATCTGCATTGGATAGTGATGCTGTTGTGGGTTGAGATCTTCCTCATATTAGGAAATGCTAGGTGTCGTGTCAACCGTCAACCCTTCTTTTATCCCCTAGAAGTAGTGACGTACGCATGGCGAGACCATGCTCGCCATGTGCTGCCGTTCTGAAGAGGCAAAGTCATCAGAGGCTCTGCACTAGACTGGGTATCGCTAGGCGGGAGTTGAGCGGCGTGTGCGGCCGCGATCCTGCCGAGGGGTGGGAGAGGCCGAAAGAGTGCAAGCCCAGCCCGGTCGAAGCCGTGACTTGGGAACACATAGCCCTTTGTCGTAGGTTTGTTTCATAAATGGTTTGAAAAAGATTGGATTGGATGGTGTGCTCTTCTCAAGTCTTGCTGCTCTCGAGCTTGCGTCGGATCAACTCCTGTAGCATTTGCAATTCTTTGCGTTGCTCGACAGACAATTCCAGTGTCTGTTCCGATGCTGGAGGCGAAGGTGGAACAACAGATGTTGCAGATCTGGTCTTTTCGGCGTCTTCCGCTGCCATCATCTCTTCCACGACTTCAGACGGAGCTTCGGCCTGCAAGACTTGATTAGTATCACGTTGCTGACGTCATGTCGCAAGCCTAAGAGTAAGGGGCAGCGAAGACTTACGATTAACGTGCCGACCAAGTTCTCCACCTGGTCACTGCCAAGGTCAAGATCTTTGTTCTCGCTTGCGAACTGGGCGAGGTTGAGTGCCAGCTGTTGTTCGTTAAAAGGACGCTTTGCGAAATTGGCTTGCTCAAGCGCGCTAGGGTATGTAGCGGCGACCTGCTGTTCGAGACGCTGATATGAGCGCTCATCACGAAGCTGCTGGATGCGAGTGCTGCGAGACTATTAGCATGTGCCGTAAAGCTTATCGAAGCAAAGAACTCACTCTTTGACCCTATCGATGAAGTCCAGCTTGATGCCCTTCTCTGGCAGCTTATAGACGATGCCACCGTCATCTTGATCGAAGAACTCCGAGTCAGATGCATCAGACTCATCTTCAAAGATGTCAATAACCCCATTGTTAACATGACCGCGGCTTAGTGACGTTTCCATCATTCGCGGGTGCTTAGGTTTGCGAACGTGAACACGGCGACGACTCAAGAATGCAGTGTCGATATTGCGCAGGTCTTTGTCGACGTGCAGAGGGCACATCCAGTCGACAACCTTTCTGCCATTCTGATTGAGCGCTGGTGGGTTAGACAGCGGAGGGTCAAGACAGTCCAGATGCCAGTGTTGTGAGCAGTGGTCGCAAGTGACGATTGGTCGTTTCGGACCTGCAAGCTGTTGGGAAGACTTTCCACAGCAGTAGCAGAGCACCAGATTGCCCTTGCTGTCACGTAGCTTGTAGTAATCGGGCTGGTCGTCAGAGTATCCTGGTTTGCCGCTATGGAGATGGTCAGTAAAACTCGTCAATCTGTGACGGGTTCAGGCTTACCGAGTTGGTTTCCCACTCATTGCTTCTACGAAGTTGCCATTCTTGTCTGTGGAGACACCATCGTAGAAATTCCTGATGTCTTCGGGCAGGACAAAATTGCATGGATTGCGCTTTTTCAGCCCGCTGAACAGCGAAGCAAACAATCCTCGAGCTGGCTTTTCGGGCGAATCGAGGATCGCAGGACGCCTCGCAACGCAGATAAAGCAGAACCAAGGCTCGTCGAGTTCTTTTGCCCCTTCCTCCAGCGGCGGATCGAGACAGGTAAGATGAAACGACCTATCGCACCCGTCACAACAAAGCAGATAGCCGCTGCCGCCACAGGCCGAACAGAAGTCGTTATTCTCTGAAGCCTGCACATCATGTGTTAGACCGTTCTTTGCATACTCAGGAAATAAAGACAATAAATGAGGAGATGAAACGCGGCGTTGAGGAAGATGCATGGTGTTGTGCGGTTTGTGCAGAAGAAAGTTGTGGAAGCGAGAGAAGGAAAGTTGGCGCGCTGCCTGCGCGTTGTCTTACCACTTCATTGTCATCATCCCCGATTGGGCTGTCTCTTCCTGCGCCACCAACGCCTGACATGCCACTGAAGGCTGCCTGCTGTTTCTTTTCGGGCCTGTTGATAGAAATGATTGTCAGTATTCGCTTTCAACACTAGAAAATGTATTTGTGCGATGCTATCTCAGCCCCGCACCACCAAAAGGAAGGCCTCAAATTGGGCAGACGGCGGTACATTCCAGCGACACGTGGCACATGTCTCTGACATTTTCGAACGCTCCAGAGGAGTGCTCATGTGCTCAGGCCGTGTGCTGGTGTCTTGAAGGGATAGAGAAATGATTGACTTACGATTGTTTGGTTTTGGCTTTTTTGCCGGCGGGTTTCGGGGGCGCTCTCTGCAGTCTTGGAGTGCTCTGCCGAGAAGTTGCTGGAGAAAGATCCGAGAGAGGCGAGTCGAGATCCATGGATGGTGCTCTGCTTCCTCTGGCGCTTGCAGCACGGCTGCCATTCTGCTCCAGTTTGACGGGCGGTGGCACGAGGCGCTGAAGGGCACGCGTTTTTGGCGCTCTCACTGTAGGACGCACATTACTCTCGGCATACTCGTAGTCGCGCGTTTGGCTCTCACTCATTCTCTGCTTCTTAGCAGCCATATCACGCGTAGCTTGATCTTGATCGAGTTCTGCCTCCGCTGACGATCGCTTGACGGAGCCGCCAGGGACCGCAAGAGAGCCACGCTCGGCCGCGTGGTCTTTGCCTCTGACACCGTTCAGTTTGATAGTCGGACCTGCTGTGCCGCCGGCTTGGTCGCCGGGGCTGTCAAAATCCATATCGTTGTCGTCCTCGTTCGAGGTGAGCGATGTGAGCGACGAGTCGCTACCCACGCTGCCTGAGCGCTTCCTCGGTGAGACTGACATATTGCCGTGACCAGAGCGACGGCGACCTGGATCCTTGACTGGTGACTTGACTTTGAGAGATATCTTGGGCTTGTGACTTTCAAGTCTTTCTGTAGATGGAATGGCAAGAGAGGTTTCAGGCGCAGTCGGTGGTTTTGGTGCCGAAGTGAGCTTTGTCGGGGGTGGCTGGGGATTTTCAGAAGACTTCTGCTCGGTTCCGTTTGTTTTCGAGGCCGGCGGTTGCCGTGCTTTATTCTTGGCGTCCTTGAGTTTCTTTTTGGCTCTTCTCACGTAGTCTTGAAATTCGTCATTTTGTTGTGCAGTAGCGTTTTGGGTAAGAATGGCTTCAAGAAGCAGTCGCAGCTTGTAGTCCAACAGGCTCTGTTCGTAAATTTCGTTGACAGCTGCGGCAAGATCCGGCTTGCCAACCTCGATGGCACGTTGTTTTGCAGCTTCAACAACACGATGTAACTTGGCGCCGTCGTATTCGAATTTTGGTGTAGGTGCAGATGGTGGAGAGTGTCGTTTGATTGATGGAACAGCTGAAGTGGCGGATGTCGCAAATTCGCTCTTTCGCTTCACCGTTCGTGTCCGGGTGGCACGGTCCTTCTTCTTGCCATTCACTGTCGGCGCATAATCTCCATCTCTGTCATCGTCAATCACTATCGGCTGAGTGGCTGGTGGCTCTACAGAATGCGAGACGGGCCCAGAAGGCGCTGGTGTCCCTTCCGGAGTATCCTGAGCATCTACTCCCCCAGCGGCAGCGCTTCGCCCCAGCGCTGACTTTCGCGACCCATCTGCCTTCACCCTCTGCTTGACCTTCGCGCTCGGTGCTTCGCCAAGAGGCTGCATGTGTTCCAACACGCCGTACGGGCCTGCGCCATGATCCTGATAACTTGGCTTGGGAGCCTGCAGCGCAGGCTCTACCCAGCGGTCCATGAATGTCTTCTGCTTTCCCTTCTCCTTGCCTGCACCTTTGCCTACGTCCCTTGAGCTTGCCTCGGAAGGTCCGTGAGAACTGCCTCGTCGCTCGTGATCTCTGAGCGAAGCGAGGGTGCCGGGCATAATCGTGTCGCAATCGTCACTGTGATACTTTGTTAGCGTGTGTCGCGACAATCTTGCAGGCAAGAATATAGTCACCCAGGACGATGCAACACCCTCGCAGGCTGTTATGCTCTGTCGTGGCGCTGAACGCGAATTACGCGTGCCAGTGCTAGGCTTCGTGAAGAGAGAAGGAGATCTGTGAGAGCGAGGTGCAGGCCGAGCGGCCCGTGCCCAACTCGCAAACACACCACAACGCCTACACTATGCGGTGGAACTCCCGGCCTTATTTTCCCTTCCATGGGACTACATACTGCACACATTTCGCGTATTCTTCCGGTCATGTATACTCTGCTACTCACGTTCTTGCGTCCGTTGCAAGACTGCAGTGCATCCGGAGTCCGATGCCTCTTTCACAACTTTTAGGCATTATGCTGACTCGATGTCTCGCGACGTGGGCCTGAGACTCGACAATAGCAGGGTGCAAAGCATATCTCGCTTTGCAGTGGCTTTTGCCATTTCTGTTTTATCTGCACTATGTTGAGATGCTTTTTGTCTTTTCTGACAAAGAGTGATTCAGTGCAGGTTATCTGTAGCGGCATCTGCTACCGCGACCGCCCCTGATCATGCTGAATTGCCACCCTGGCAACATGGGTAGAGAGGCCGGGAACCACATTCTGCCATGCAGGCAGGCGACGTATATTGCCGTGGATTTCATAATGATGCGAGAGACTGCAGGAGAAGCGCTTACTCGTCGTCGCTGTCGTCCTCGTCATCATCGTCATCGTCATCTTCCTCCTCTGGCTTTGCAGCAGCCTTCTTGGCGGCTTGGACTTCTTCTTCTTTGGCTTCTTAGCCTTGGTGCTGGTCTTGTTAAGAGGCTGCTCGAGGATCTTGAGGATCTCTTCGTCTGTGATTTTCTTGTCTGACTTCCACTGTGATAGATCTGGCTTTGCAGGTGCAGCCAGCTTCTGCATGCCGTTCTTGGTGAGTGCTAATATTTGTCAGCATTGCCATTCAACATTCCTTCCGACCTTCGCAGAAGCTCAACTTACCAACAGTGGTAAAGAGTCGGCTGACAGGCTCGCCGTCTGCAGAGCCGATGACCTCGTATTGGCGAATGACACCGCCACGCACGCATTCGACAACACCGACCTTGCCAGCTCGCTCGTCATCTAATTGTCGCAGACTGAAGGGGAAAGTGCCGAATTTCTTCTGGGCCTCGGAGAGTGTCTTTCTCGAGGACTCGCGCTTCAAGCCATATGTTGTGGTTGTCCTGCGATGCAGAGTTGGTCTGTTCGGAAGACTCTTCACCTTTCCAGAACCAATGCTGACGCCCATTTCGACACCCCAGACTTCTCCGACTTCTGGCAGACCCTCACCCTTCACGCCCTCGCCTGGCGCAAGGATGATCTTCTTCTTGCTTTCGATCTCATTTCTGTCAAACAGCCAGCAAGTTGTGTTCTCGACAAGATTGCAATCATAACTCTTGACAAGCTTCTCGAGCAGCTGCGTGATTTTGGATTGACTGTATGGCTTGGTGGCTTGGGCTTTCTTCTTCTCTTCCTCGGATCCTTGAGCCAACAAGCCTGGGGGAAGCATCAACCGCAGGAGAAGCTCATTTGCCCAGTAAGTCGCGAGCATGAGATCTGCTGGTCTCCCTGAAAGAGCCTTCTCGCCCTTGGCTTGCACAATGACAGTATCGCAAACAATGGCACCGAATCCATCGATCTGAGCACCAAGCTGGATCTTGACGGGTTCGCCAGCGTGCAGCGTCTTGTCGGCCTCTTCGGTGTCGGATACGAGGGGAGTGTAGGGCGTCACGTATGAGCTTGGCGAGACTGTGCATGGGTGCGAAATACCCTTGGTGATCTTCTTGCCTTTGTAGACTTTGGCGACCTCATCTTCGAGGAGCTTATCGCCGCGCTGGCAGATTTCGATGATCTTGGTGCCCTCAGTGCACCATCCTGCTCAGGTCAGCACCAGGCAAAGCGCGGGCGGAGGTGAACAGCGCACCTGAAACAGTCTCGAGTACTTTCTGGCCAATCTGGGCAGCAGTCTTGTACTTGGTGAGGCTTCCGGCTGGTCAGCGACTTCTGCATGGCATGGCATGTTTCTATAGGGCAGAATGAGCTCACGTGTCGGGATTGGCGAGGCTGTAGTCTGTTTCAATGGGTCAGTCACAAGCTCGAGTGCACGTAAGTGCAAGTGGTGGGCTGGAGCGCGTAGGCGGTGGTCGTGGATGGACTCACCAACGACAGCCTCTTCAGCCATTGCAAAGGGGAGTGTGCTGCTTGTGGGCAGCGCGCAGCGGGCAGCGAGCAGCGGAAGATGGATGTGTCGAGTGGTTGAGCTCGAACAATCACAGTAACAGCTGCTTGTTTGAGGCAGCGGGAGTCGAAATTGAGCCGTGGCTGTGGCTTTGAGAACGAGGACGAGGGGTCACAGTGCGCCCCACTTTGACATCGTCACTTGACAACACCGCAAAAACGGCGGGCGTCTCGTTGATGAAACGCGGTGAGAAAGACGGTGGGCGGCTCTCTGGCAGCGGGAAGGGGCTTAATCGCGGTGAAATGCACAGGCACAGGCGCAGGCACAGGCGCAGGCACAGGCACAGGCACAGGATCGTGTGCTCGCGCGCGCAGAAACAATAGTTCTAGCAGGCACTGTACGGAGGATTTCGAGTCCTCGCCGTATCAGTCCGATCGGCCACCAAAGGGGGTCAATCTCGGATCTTGCATATGAGCACTTTGCTAGCGATGGTCTCAGACGTCGTGCACCGGGGCAGCCACATTGATGATCGAAACAGGTACAGGATGGGGAATCTTCTGCAGCGCGCGTGGCCAGAGCCTCAGCACCCGGAGTTGAGAACGGGATGCAGCGAAGTGGACGGCCTCAGGCAGAATGGGGGCATTGGATAGCAGTGGCCGTCAAGTCTGGCGAAGAAGCGGATGCCAGTCCTGTGATGTGCCCGTCGTCAGAAACATAGGCGTGTGTGTGTCATGTGATGCTGCATGGATTTCCGGAGCGCGTGCCAGTGCCGCTGCGGCAGCCACGTTTGTGACGCGGTTGACCGTCTGGGTTAGAATAGGTTGCGGCCCGATTCGCTGAGACTAGCGATGGATTTGCTCCATGCCCACAACATCTTTCCTCGACCACTTTTCCTCACTGAACCCTTTCGCTCGTTGTCCGACATTGCCTGGGGCTGCCTGTGGTACCGCTCGACCTGCCGCACACAGCTTGCGTCCTGAAATTCCATTCCTACAATCGCGACATCACGCTCTTGTTTGCCGAACTGACCTAGCAGCAGGCACGACTGTGAGTTCGATGATTATTATTTACCCCAGTGTCTGCCACGAGCTTGCCGAGCCGGTCACTAACTTTTGCCGCACGCAGTGGGAAGCCGTGCATCGAGGCCTCGCTTGTCGAGCTTGGCCAATGTCTAGCAATGCTCGGCCTTCCGCCGTAAGGCAGGAAACTGGAAATCCAGCACTGAGCGAGGCCAATACCAGTATTCCGGTCACGCCAACCGTCAGCAACGAGACCTACGTGTCGCCTAGTACAGCATCCCACATAACACGGAATCCCCCGCAACACCTTCTGGAGTCGATTGGTGCTGATGGATATATCGGAAATGGCCATTCAGCACGACCTTCCGGAAGGACGGAGAGCGGAGCCTCCCAAGCTGCGGCAGGTGCTCGAAATGGCGAAGAGCTTCTCCGCCGATTGAGTCTCACAGGGCAGCCGTCGAGGCCTGCTGCAGAACTTATAGATCCGCGTAGCGCGCATCCTAGCTTGAATCTCAGCGGAAATGTGATCAGCGCCGCATTTTGTGTTCCCTACAAGGTCGGCTATACGACCACTGGCGAATGGGTGCGTTGTACGGTTGAGAAAATCGAGAACATTCAAGTCAAGCTAAAATCATCACAGGACCTCAAACCTAGGAGAGGAACGTCAGCACTTTTCGATTCTTTCGCATATCTGTCCTCGCCAGAGTCGCCTTGGAAGCATACACTAGTCGGTTGGACTGGAGAGATCGACCGTGTATTTCGTCGCAGAAACCAGTCTGCGAGTACCAACGGCGTTACTTCCATGGACTCCGTTCCACTCAATAAGGCTTCTGCGCCGATTCCGGTCAACAAAACCGAGAAGCCTGTCCAACCTGGAGACTATTCGGATCTGCACATTCCACTTGCTGACCGGCGGAAACTGGAGAAGCAGCTAGAGCTAGAGTCTGGTGGACACGTTGCTCCTGTTTGGCTGTGGGATGGTATCGACGAGAACGAAGTAGCCACCTTCCACAATCAGCAGCGATGGCGGCGTTATGGTGAGCACGAATTGTTCACACTATTTCACTACAAGCAAAATGAGCCGAGCGATGGTCGAGACCTTCGCAAGACCTGGGCCGATTACTACTGCATGAATCAAGCGTTTGCAGATGCGATCATTGGTGTGTACAAACCTGGCGACATTATCCTGATTCACGACTATCACCTTCTACTGCTGCCCAGCCTGTTACGACAACGACTGCCGAGTGTCTACATTGGATTTTTCCTTCACGTGCCCTTCCCGAGCAGCGAATACTATCGATGCCTCACTCGGCGCAAGGAGATACTTGAAGGAGTCCTGGGAGCCAACATGATCGGATTTCAAGCATACAGCTATGCCAGACATTTCTCCTCCTGCTGCACACGTATCCTCGGCTTTGATTCGTCATCTGCTGGCGTTGATGCATACGGCGCGCATGTGCCAGTGGACGTCTTCCCCATCGGGATCAATGCAGAAGAAACAAGACGAGTCGCCTTCGATTCTCCTGGCGTGACCGGGAAGATGAAAGCCTTGCGCGAGATTTACCAGAACAAGAAGGTCATTGTTGGCCGAGATCGGCTAGACACTGTGAGAGGTGTAGCACAGAAATTGCAGGCGTTCGAGATATTCCTTGAACGACACCCAGAATGGCGCGAGAATGTCGTCCTTATCCAGGTCACGAGCCCCACTAGCATTGAGGAGCGCGACGACAAGGGCGACAAGACTGCGAACAAGATTTCTGAATTGGTGGCTAGGATCAATGGAGCCTTTGGCTCACTCAGCTCCACGCCAGTTCAGCACTACCCGCAATATCTGTCACAGGAAGAATACTTTGCCTTGCTTCGGATCGCTGACCTGGGACTTATCACGAGCGTCCGTGATGGTATGAACACTACCGCATTGGAATACGTGATGAGCCAGCGAGAGAATCACGGCCCACTGATCATCTCGGAGTTTTCTGGAACAGCAGGCAGCTTGGGTGATGCAATACATATCAACCCTTGGGACCTTGGCGGCACTGCCGACGAGATACACACGGCGCTTACGATGACCGCGGCCGAGAAGCAGCAACAACACGAGCTTCTGTACAAGCATGTGACATCGAATACAGTGCAGTACTGGACCAACAGCTTCATTCGGCGCCTGCTCACTAATCTGGCTTCATATGATCAGTCAGTTGCCACGCCGGCGCTCGATCGTGCCAAGTTGTTGCAGCAGTACCGCGACTCTTCGCGTCGCCTCTTCATGTTTGACTACGATGGCACTCTGACGCCAATAGTGAAAGATCCACAATCCGCCATTCCTTCTGACAGAGTCATTCGGACCCTCAAGACTCTAGCTTCCGATCCGCAGAACCAAGTCTGGATCATCAGCGGCCGCGACCAAGCTTTCCTTGATGAATGGATGGGTCACATCTCGGAGCTCGGTCTGTCAGCAGAGCATGGCTCATTCATGCGCCATCCCGGATCCAGTGAATGGGAGAACTTGACCGAAACTCTTGACATGTCGTGGCAAGATGAGGTGATCCGTATCTTCAACCACTTCTCAGAGCGAACACAAGGCAGCTTCATCGAGCGCAAGAAGATTGCTTTGACCTGGCACTACCGTCGAGCAGATCCCGAGTACGGGGCTTTCCAAGCTCGTGAGTGCCAAAAAGCTCTGGAAGGATACGTGACGAAGAAATGGGACGTAGAAGTCATGACCGGCAAAGCGAACCTGGAAGTCCGACCTCGATTCGTCAACAAGGGCGAGATTGCTCGTCGCTTGGTAAGCGAGTATGGCGAAAAGGCACCAGATTTCGTGCTTTGTCTTGGGGATGACTTCACTGACGAAGGTGAGCCAGGCATCAAATTTCCTCGTCTCTTTGCGCAACTTTCACTGACTTCCGTGTACAGACATGTTCCGCACTCTCCGCCAGTCCAAGCTACCCGAGCAACATCGCTTCGCCGTTACAGTCGGTGCTAAGACCAAACAGACTCTCGCGACGTGGCATCTCCTCGAGCCTTCAGATGTCATATCCTGCATTTCCCTCCTCAATGGTTCGACTGATGCCGGAAATGCCGGAGCAGTAGCAATTGTGGAGGGCTCGGTCCCGGATACAAGATAGATTGCGTGCAGGAGGGTGGCGGACATAGATTCTGATGAAAGCATTAGCATCAGCGTAGTAGGACATCTTGATGAAGAAGACTCTCATGGTCGGCCAAAAGGAGATTGAGAGCGAGAGAGAGAGAAGTCTGAAGATGGCTCTTTCAGTGAATGAGATCCGAAAATTCCTCATCATGCCATGCCATTTCATCAGCTCGCCTATATAAGTACATTCTCCGCACGTTCACCGGCCACGCACAGCCTCCTCCCTATTCCTCTTCCTCCTACGATTCACCTCCTCCTCCTCCTCCTCAATCCCACCAACCACGTCAGTCTTCCAAACCTGACCTGTCTCCTGCGCGATCTTCAGCCCAAACCTCTCCAACTGTTCCCGTCGTGCCCTATACTCAACATCCGGTCTCCCCACGAAAACCCCAAGCATCGATTTCCTTTCCGAAGGCTTCCTCGCCCTGTAAGCCCGATTCACATCCGTGATATGGTGTTGCAAAACCTTTTCACAAGTCGCAATACTCCCTAGAATATGTTTGATCGCATACGTCTTCCTTCCCAGATCATTGTGTGGGTTTGCCGGATCTTGGAGGGTAAGGAGGTAAGGCATCCATTCGTTTCTTTGACACATCCTCCACTGCCCTGAACGGATTTTGTCCCCGCGTTTCTCGGCTAAGGCCATGTATCTATTCAGGACCGGGGATGGTGGGTGTTTGAGGAACTTCGTGCGTGGGAAGCAGGAGATGGCGAACTTTTTCAGGTTGATGGACCTGGATCTGGCTTTGGCTCTGGATGGTATTGGGGCTAGGGTTTCGAAGAAGGTGATGAAGGCCCTGGCGTGTGGTCGTCGAGATCCCTGGTCGGATCCGATTTGGATCAATTGGACTGGGGTTCGCAGAAGTGTTGCGACGAGAAGAACGAAGATGCCGTAGGATCCTAAACCACCGGTGAAGACGTCGTTGAAGTTGCGCATGCCGAAGAATGTTCGGACGGCGTAGAAGACTGTGCGGAGGTAGGGCATGTCTTCGAGGCATTGCTTGACGACTGCTTGTTGGGCGTGTGAATCACTTCCGGCTACGATCTGCACATCCAAGCCGGATTCTTTGTGCTGCGCATTCAGAATGGGATAGGCTGCGTCACGAACAGTCACAAGTATCCATTTATCGCTGCTTCGCATATTATCGGCCACAAGAAGTAGTCGATGCAGGAGGCGAGGTGCTGAATGGCTCGTGGGCAAAGGAGCTTCTCGGCCATCCCATATTTGAATATCAATGTCTGACCAAGGCAGGGCAAGTCCTGTCTGCTGAGAGCCATGAAGCTGAATTTTTGTGCTGATTGATACGTCGTCTTTCAACGAGTTTTTGACCAAGTTCATGGTTGCTTCCGCAACAGCATTTCTCGCCATACTCTCTTTTGCCGTGGGCTGTACCCATTCCGCAAATTTTTTGAGCTCTTCCTCAAGCTGCTCAATGCCCTGCGATCGGGACTTGCGGATGCCCTTCTCCCATGGCGGAGGCTCTTCCGGAGAAGAGGCGGTCTTTTGAGGCAGCACATTGCATGGCATGTAATTAAAGACCTTCTCCTTCAACCTGTCTCGCATGACAGGTGACATCTTATTGATCCATTTGGCCCTCTGCACACTGATTTCATGAAGACGGCCAGACAATATTCTGATTCCATTTTGCCAAGCAGTGGAGCGTATGTTCTCCAAGCGGTCCAAATGCATGCGTCGGTCGTAGACCTGATCATCCTCCTCTAGTTGCTTCTGAGAATCCACAGGACTGTGCGGTGCATCTTTCTTGACACTGGAAATGTCATGCTTGGGTTTGCTTCTGACAAAGCGCGGGCCGGTAAAAATTGGCCGTTTATGCACTGGTGGTTCGCCTTCGCGTGGTGATCGATCAATCTCTCCCTCAAGGCCTTTGATCTCTTCCGGCTCGGGCTTCGCTTCGAGAGGCTTCCAGTTACCGCTCTCCCACGGGGAAGGCACGTCTTCTTCTGGCGCATCTTTGCCTTCATTGGCATTGCTTCGTTTCGTCGTGGTGCCAAACGTGGCTCGAAGTGCTAGATTGACATTGTATGCATTGTGAGCGCAGCAGACAGAGCGTCCGATGCGCTTGTACAATTGCATGAAGGATTGGGTTCAGGTGCAGGAAAGACGGATGTTGAAGCTCGGAGGAATTGGTCGGAGCTGGAGGAGCTTTCCAGGGCTTGGCATTCAGTATGGCGAGTTTCTATGAGGCATGATGCACATTGCAAAGACGGAGAACAATCATACATTTACTTTCATATTGTCAATAATGTCAAATGAATCAAACTTTGAGCTACGATTTCGCGTCGTGCAACACATCATCAATGACTCGTTCCTTTCCCCTTGTTACAGCAAATCCCAACCACATAGATCACATACCGCCTTCAGTCCTGTATTTCCCATCAATCGTCCTTCGTTCCGCAGCCACACAAAAGAGAAGCTTCCATAGCCGTACTGTTTGGCATTGTGCAAATTGCTGCCAGTGCAGCATCAGCATTGCCAGCTGCCACTTCAAAACAGGCAGCATCGGACACATTTCACATCTAGCGTCGATGTCTGTCCATAAATCATGAGGTCTGACTTCAGGCCAAATCTTGTTCAAAATGGTGCGAGGCCTGATCTCGCTTTTAACTCCGATCTTTGCGTTGAGGTCCTCGCAGGCAAGGCTTATCATCGCACGCATCCGTTCAAGGTAAATGTCGTCGCTGCTTAGGAGAATAGGATTCTGGATTTTCGCTTCCCATTATTGCTGCTGTTCCCACTGCCAAAACTCCTGTTTGTAGCGCTGGTACCGCTGCCACCTGTGTTGTGGTTGTAAATGTATTCTCCATCAACATACTGTGCATTCGAGATCCAGGTGGTCCGCTTTTCGCGCTTCGTGTATCGTTGTTCCAGGCGGTATATCTCGTATTTTGCTCGTAGCTTGTCGATGAGACCCATTCTGCTATTGTGCTGTCTAAACAGCAGAAGTTGGAAAGCAGAGGTAACTGGAAGGCAAGGTCGATGCGATGGCGCTTCTCGAAGGCGTTCCTTTAGATCTTATACGCGTTCGCGTCCTGTATGGCGACTCTCTGTGTGCTGCAGGGCTGAAAACGGTGTTGCAGTCGGCGATGTCGTGCGAAAGGCTTGCTGAAAAGGCGTGCCAAATGCTATGGTGCAATGGCGTTCTTGGAACTGGCTGTCTTCAAGACGGAATGCTTTGCTGTGGTTGATTGATAGATTCCGAGACGAGATATTTCGATCCAAGTCTTCTGTTGACTAAAAAGCAGCCACTGCTTCAAGCAGTCTAGTCGTGGGCCGTTGAAGAGAGGAGAAATAAGCCGGTATGAGCGTTGGCTTGGACTAGCCGTTGCCGTTGTAGTGCTTAATGTTTACGAGACGAAGCTTCGAAGTGCGCGATGAAGTTCTTGGTGAATGCAGGTCCCGCTGCAGCAGTTGACACAGAAGAGATGGAGGAAAGGGAGGGGGAATGGCCGGCAGAATGGACGCATGTGGAGTGCGGTCCACGGTGAGCAGCGGATGCTGATGTTGGAGATGCAGGTCCATGTGGACTGGCTTCCACACCAATGCTTCCCCTTGCAAACTCTCATTTATCTCATCAAAAGGTCGCGCGCTTCCCATGAATATTGAGGGAGCACTGAGGCCGAAAAACATGCGTCTGCGCGATCTGCTCATGCTACATTTGACGGCCGTCGCGGCTTCCAATGCAGCTTTTGGTAGAGGAATGCAGTTCTTTGTGCTGCGTTTCTGCTCGAGCCTAGGGTGCGCAGTGGAAAAGGAGGTTCCCTCGCGTGGCCTGCAGCTCTTAGCGCGGAAGGGCCTAAGCTGGTTCTGGATTCTGGAACGACACCAAAGCCATTGGAACATGCCGTCGCCGACAACAACCGCACTCTGTCCGTCTTTCGGTCCGTTGGTTGCACGACGAAGAGATGTCGTCGCCGTCCGGTTGTACTGGCGTTCCTCGTGGTCGTAACATTGCTACAGCAACAACAAGTTTACCCCCCGTTTCCCATGCTCTGCACTTCGGCCAAGGGCAAGTCGAGGAGCTCGTCGAGGCATTCCTGGTTAGGAGAGGCCTTGTAACCCAGCCGGCCTGTCTGCACCTCCCGTGGTCGTACCTTCAAGAGGAGCGACAGCATGCATCGGCACGGCGTCGTAGAATAATAATGACTTCTGCCTTGCGACTTGCAACAGTGAGGAATCTTGTCGGCACCCGCGTCTCGCGGCACACCACAGTCTTTTCCTGCTCAGACTTCTTGCCTTCCAAGACCCGAAGGCCATCGAAGTCTTGCACCTCCCTTGTGGTCTTATGCAGGTGCCCTGTCGAGAGCGTATACTGGCACATCAGAACATCAGATATTGGACATGATGCATCTTTTATAGATATGTACAGTAGTGTGGCCCTCTACTAAGCATTGAAACCTGCTGCGTGATGTGTCGCAATGAAGCCTTTGCGGCCTCTGCTCCTCCTTCGCAAAATACATCCGCTTTCCTATACTATCTGTATGGAGCATCTGCTCTTGCCACTGCAGCCAGCTCTGGCTCCCACTTGTCACCGTTATGCAACAGCTTCTCCTTGTTGTATAAAAGTTCTTCTCGAGTCTCAGTTGCGTACTCTGCATTCGGGCTCTCCACGATAGCGTCCACAGGGCAAGACTCCTGGCAGTAGCCGCAGTAGATGCATTTGGTCATGTCAATGTCGTAGCGCGTCGTTCTTCTGCTGCCATCTTCTCGCTCCTCTGCCTCAATTGTGATTGCCTGTGCTGGGCAGATAGCCTCGCATAATTTGCAGGCAATGCATCGTTCTTCGCCGGTGGGGTAGCGTCTGAGCGCGTGTTCGCCACGGAATCGGGGTGAGATCGGGCCCTTCTCGAATGGATAGTAGATTGTGTATCTGTGGATGGCAAATCAGCCTTCTCCTCTCCTGTGCCTGATCTTGTGGCAATGGCTGTTTTGGACTTACGGTGGTCGGAAGAACTGCTCAAGCAGAACGTACATTCCTCGCATCATCTCTGTGAGAAGGAAGTACTTTCCAGCCTGGTCCCAAACGCTTTCCTTCTGCTCGTTCCATCTTTTCGGTGGCGGTATCCGGAAGCCATCTGGTGGTGGTCCTTCTGCTTGTCCTCCGAGCGCTGGTTTCGACCTTACCGCGCCGGTCGAGAAAGCAGACCGTGTGACAGCGGCGGCAATGCGAGAAGTGGCAGCAGGCCGCGAGCGCGCCAGCGCGATTAACGTCCTTGGTGCCGACATTGTATGGAGTGGAGTGGAGTGGTGAGGAGAGAGGCGCTGTGTGATGGCAATGCGAGGATACACGGAGCTATTCTTCTGCCGCCCAATCAGATGATCGACTTTGATCATCCATTTTGAGTTTCCTGACGGCATCTCTTCACTACTGCTTCAGCTCCCACAATAATAAACAAGAAGTTTGACGTTTCGCCTTTGCCTACCACAGTACATCTCTCTCCTATAGCGATTACCTTTTCGTCCACTTGCGAGGAAGAGTTGTTCCTGAGGTCACTGCCCTTCCGCACGTGTCTTGTGTCTTGCCGACTCCACTAGCTTCCCGTAGGCATGGCAAGAACTACTTCGAGCTACATATCAGTGCATATGAAAGCTCAAATCGCGCGATGAAGGCGTCGCTGGTCACATCTGAGTACTGGTTATGCTCCGACCGTCCGAGCCTGGACCGCGCATCCTCTCCATACATAGTTCACAGAGCATTATCGTGCTAATCGAGCGCCGATCTGACTGCGCAGCCAAAGCCATGCAGACGCGAATCTTTTCTACGGTCTGGTTGTCGTCTTGGATGACGAAGTGAAGTCGCAATTATACGCCTCGATTTTGCTCTACAAGACCTTATCTGGGCAAAGAGTACTTGACAGATACGCTCTACCCGCTCACTAAATTACGCAAGGGTATCCAAGTTGAACGCCATTGCCGCGCCGACGACGACGCGGACAACAACGACGAGAACGAGCGGTACACGCATGGATTGGAGAAGACTTTGAACGTTGTATGGAAAAGTCGGGACCATTCTTCGCTCCAATCTACTCGAGGCCAGCACCTTCTGCATTCGTGAGCGAGACAGGTGTCTTCAAGTCCATGAAGGTCGGCGAAATATCGTCGTCAAACACGCTCGCCTTCCAGAACAGCGACTTGAGGACTTCTATCACTGCTGGGATCGCCTTATCAGTCGCCAAGATGAGCGCTGGGTTCGCAAGGTTACAGGACACGCTATGGCTATCGTGGATGCACAAGAACCTCTAGAAGGCGCAGAGGCTCAGTGGGAGGGTGGTCGGAGTAAGAGATTTGATGAGATCGACGACGACGTGCTTATGGACGTATGAGCCTGAGGCCTTCTGCAACTCCGACATCTCGCGACTGCACCATTTACGAGTCCCTTTTCCAACTTTCTGAAGAACCTGTTGATTCCAGAGTCGACGCGATGGGCTAGTTATCGAAAGCAGACTGAACTCCTGCCATTCAGACATTGGACTTCTGCGAGCTTACTTTTCTACGATATTACATTTTCGGACCTTTTTCACAGTTCGTAGCGTCTAGGTGGATTGATGGAGGTGGTGTGGCATACTACATGGTATTCAGAGGAGCACCAGTCGTGGGATCAGAATGAGATTTGTAGCACGGGTAATGCAGCTACTCGGCGAGAACTCTGCAGCCTCGTCCTTCTATCCAACGCTTTTTGTATCGATCTCCTTCGTCTCTTCCTCTATGCCCCTTGTTGTTATCGTATATCGGGATTTCGGTGCGAGTTTTGCCTCCAACTGCTCCATGTCACGCCTATGTCTTCCAAACAGCCAGATTTCCATGCTCGTGGGATTCGGATTTTCGACAATAGCGACCACAGACCCCATTATCTACCCACAGAATCGCACAAACAATATGAAATAGATGTCAAGAACACCGTGGTAAAACATAGAGACCATAGCTCAAGTTTGGTAGCATGGGTCGTCACTGTCAACCCAACCCTACCCCTACCTACAGGGCCAATGTGGTAGACAGAACAATTTATCCAGAGAAGAGCAGGAGAACTGCAATGCGAGCATGTACGAAAGTGTAAAAATAGCAATGCATGACCAATATATCCGCCATATCTGGGTATCTATCCCAGCAAATCAAACACCATGGCTATGCGTTATGCCTCCGTATACCGACAAGCAAATCCGCCACAATCACCAACAACGCCTTCAAATCTGACTTCTGGAACTCGCAGCATGCCTGAGCCGAGACTTCTGCGTAGCCTCCTCGATCTTGTTTCTGCGCCATTCGCAGCCTTCAGCAAATTCGCAAATCCTACATTTGGAAGACGCCTCCTCAATGTCGACACCGCGGGCTTCCCGCTCACCTTTCCACCACTGCATCGTAGATGCTACATACTCATCCAAAACCTTGCCATCGAAAGGAAAACATTGCTGTCCGATGAATTCACCTGTCGCGGATGCGACGAATTTGGCTGTCAAGAGGGGAGATAGAGTATTCGATGAGATCGTTCTGGAAAACTCTGCGATCATGTGCGACCACAACGCGCTTAGCGTGTTGTAAGCCAAGATCTCGGCGAGAGGGTCGTTGTCCTGCTCGCCGGTGGCAAATTCGTCGTTCTGGTCGTCCAGGCTTCTCTGGCTCGAGGAGAAGTCGATAGCGCCCATGGAAGCGATGAAGGCATCGCTGAATATAGTGTGAGCATCGACCTGATAACGGTCGAAGATGCGATCGGCTTCCACGTTATTTGTGGCAAGGTCCTCGAGCAGTCGACGGTACAGCATGAGCTGCATCTGTGTAGGCCGCATTTGAGAGCCGAGCTTTGGAAGGCCCTTCGCCTTGCGCGTCTTCATATCGACCAGGTAGACCGTCTGCCGCGGCTGCACGTTCGATGACCATGCGTCTTGGCTGTTGAAGAGATCCCGTGAACTTGTACCGAAGAAGTCATCCATCATGGTTTGGTCGGGCAGAAGTGCCATCTTCTTCTTGCCTTTCTTCTTATCCGACTCGGCCTCCTCTTGACCAAGAATCTTGGCCTCTTCAGTTTCGTCGGGGCAGGTGTAGGTGAGCTCGTCAATCTTCCCGATCACTACCTAAGCACAAGCATTTGATCAGTAGTGTTTCAAAGACCATAGAATTCCGGCCCTTGGAAAGCACCGAGTTTCGCGCTGGTATTAGCCGTGGGAAAAGGATGCGGCATAAATGCTCCATCATCCCAAGATAGACGCTAGCTCTTTCTGTCTTGTCCAGATTCATACTGCACATCCTCGACGTACCTGATCATCGACGACACCAAAGACATCGAACTCCCGAGTGATGCCTTGTAATCTGAGAGCTCGCATTCCTTGGATCATGTTCCACATTCGTAGTCCTAGCCTGTCCTCCTTGGTGACGGTGTCGACAGGAACCTCAGTCTGTATCTCCCGCTCCTTCTCTTTATGTATCCTCGACCCCTGCTTCATGATCGGCGTCCTCTTGATGCGACCGTACTTATTCAGCGAATACCAGTACTGGAGCTCGCACCAGGCAGGCGAGACCAAATCCGTCACACTAAGCCCTTTTCTGGGAGCAGGTCGGAATTTTTCAAGCGGCGATCGAGTATCTCTAGTGTCACGATCTTCAACCGCAGGGCTTTCGCTCTTGACTGGAGAATCGCCTACTTGCACACCTACCAGGCGCTGTAGTCAGCGTGTCAGTCTCTCCCGACAAGCTCTCAAAGCTAAGCATACCTGAGAAGTCCGCCCTATTGTCCTCGGCGTACTCGATTTCAATTGGACATTCCCTTTTGACCCTGATGTTGCGTGAAGACTGCGTATCTGAGTCATCCACCCCACTAATGGCTCGCGTGAGACTCTCGCGAATATGTTTGAGCTGGGTTGAAGTCTCGCTATTAGAAGCAATCGCTGCGTCCAGATCATCTCGCAAGCGTGCCAGTCGCAGATGGCTGCTCTGTGCCTCGGAATCATCTTGCTGAGGGAGGATAGGTTCTTCTGCATCTTCAAACTTGACCCTGGGCGCCCTGGGTAGTGTTTCCGGAGAAAAGGCTTGCGAGAATGCCTCATCCCATGTGGCGTCGTCGAAATCAGAGCCATAATCCGACTCGGCATCCTCTTCATCTCCTATGTCGTCACCATTCCCCGCCGGCCGCTGTAGAGACATAATGCCATCGTGGGGGATAGCGATTGGGATGATGTGTTTGTGTAAAGAGAATGTTTCGAGCTGCGGCCGACGTGCGAACATTGGGGTGTTGTTTTCTCGGTCTCGCGACGCGATTCAAAAAGCTTGCGCGAAGTCGGCGCGAAGTCGCTAACTCACACCCAGTGCGTATGGAGATGCTGGTCTGGTCTGGTCTGGTCTGGACAGCAGCAAAAGGGACTTGGAACTATCGAAGCCATAGAAGAAATGTAATGGTAGGTGGCTTTGTAGAATTCTGAATCTTATGTAGCATCTAGTATGCATAGGTGAGGTGTTCTCTGCATGCGGAGGAGCTCCACTTTCCAGGCAGCATTGCAGTGGCGATAGCCTCTCGTCGAATCGTCGAATATTTAAAAGGACTGTATACTAGGCAGCCTACTAGGTACCTCACCATATGTAATTTGCCAGCCATGCTCTTTCAGTTATCATTCGGCGGTGGCCGTCTCTGCCATCTCATCCTCCAAGTCACTTCTCAGACCATCAATCAGCTTTTGCAGCTTTCCTAAGAATGCACTTCTCGCAGCGTTCTGGAGATCTTTATGCAGTGTTTGAAATGTGACATGACCTTCCAACGTATACCCATTGCGCTGCAGACTGGTGAGTCATCGCTGGCTTGACTCTCCTATCGTCACTGAGGTGCTGTAATCGCAACCTGTAGAACTAGAGGGTCTGGATGAGTAAGCCTAGACAGACAACGTCTTACGACGACGGTTAGGTCGTAGCCTTTGCACTTTAGTTGCGTGGGCAGAGTCAAGAAGAGGATCAGATGTCGTACAAAGACGTGAAGGCTCGGTATCAAATGTTCGTCCTCGGTGTTGTCCAAGTGGTCCAGATTGGAGGCTTTCCCCTCGCTCGAAGGGCATCTCTGCGTGCTTTGAGGCTTGGGCACAAAGCAGTGCATATGCCGGCTTGATGCTGGATCCATCTCAGGCAGATATCCGACAGAAAGTATCATAGGCTCTGAAGCATCCTACCGTATTTCTCGCTTTGATTGTTGCTGAGGATCATTGGTATATTGCGTCTGCAGTCTCCATTCTCTCTCGACATCTCACGGCTTGTCCTTGGACTTCTTCGTCGTTCTTCTCACAGCACCAAGGCCCTTCTTTTTCGCCTCGGCCTCTGCCACTCGATTCAACCAGCTGAGGTATGTTTGCCAGCCGATCGCGATGAAGCCTGCGAAGACGTTCCTATTCACAGGCTTAATGAACGTGAACGTAAACGCCGTGACCAAAGGCCAGATTTTCCAGCTATTCTTCCAGCTCACAGGCACAGTCCTGATCACTCTGTCCTTTGCCTCTTTGAAACTTCCACCCGACAAGATCGTCTGCATTCCAAAGAAGTACGTGTTGAAGATCGGGGTGAAGCACATTTGAGACACCACAATTTTCGCAGCCAAGCTCTTCCAATGTTGCGCGTAGTTGAAGTTGCGTCCTAGCCAGAGGAACCATTTATAAGAAGGAATGCTGACAATGCCGCCGATTATGAGAGCTATCAGGCCGCGTTTTGGTTCATATCTGCCTTCTGTAAAGACATTGGTTTGAACGGTTTGCGCAGAGAGATCGCCAAGGAAATAGATGATCAATGTAGATTCCCACTGCGTCAGAAGAGGACTTCGTTGTTGCATGTCCGAGTACGCGCGGAAGGGTTCGACCCATGCCCAGTATGTGCCGCCAAACGCTTCTGTCGTTGTAGTTTGTTTTGAAGTTGCATTCGCTGTAGCGGAGACATTGCGATTAGATGTATTACATGGCTTTGTAGACTCCCATCTCTTGCTGTGCTTTGCAGGATAGTGGTTGAGGTTTCGCTGCACGGTCTGATGGAGTCGGCGGAGGGTTGACCGTCCAGCGAGGAAGGGAGGTATCATGTTTGGAAGATGAAAGAAGAAGGCATTGACAACGAGAGGAGAGAAATAAGAATGCTAGCAGGCAGGCATAGTAAGGATACTTGTGTGCTTGTTGAACGAGCTGTTCAAGATGTTGTTGCATGATGAGTCCAATGCCGATTGTTTACTGGCCGGACATCGGCTCTGCGGTTCCTGCGGCCGACTCTAGCGTGCTTCTTTGGTGGCTCACAGGGCTGATGGCTAACGGCTCATCAGGTACCACAGCAATTGAGCACCTTGCCATGTTGTTGGGGAAAACAAAGATGTATTCTGAAAAAAGACTGCTTGAATCAGTGTGTTCACAGGTCGATGTTTTGGTGACGACATGGACACGCATGGCTAGCGAGAGCGTTCGGGAAATGGCCAGGCTGGAGAGATGGTGAAGCAAATTGCGCCCGGTGGCAAGCAGCGCGAACAGCAAGATTCGTGTCAGCAGTGAGTCGCAACGAGCGGTCACAGAGGCAATATCGATTGAGAAACGTGAGATGGAAGCCGCAGTGAAGTATTGATCAGTTGCAATTCTCATGCACCATTGTCATTATGATACATAGCATGATAGTGCCGCTCGCCCTCCTGGCGCACCGTGATATCTCGTTTGAAAACACCCATTGACTTGCCCAAGTCATCTGATAGTAGCCCCCATAAACGCCAATGTGAAGAAGTAGCCAAGTTACCACCGCCCGTCACCCATGCTGACTGTGCCGGAGAGGTCGAGGTGGTTACTCATGAAGTCGTGTCGGTAGATGGAAAAGATACATCACTTAAGAGCGCTCGCCACGGAGACGGCGGGCAAGCTGGATGTCCTTGGACTGGATGGTGACACGCTTGGCGTGGATGGCGCAAAGGTTGGTGTCTTCGAAGAGGGAGACAAGGTAGGCCTCGACGGACTCTTGGAGAGCGCCGATGGCAGAGCTCTGGAAGCGGAGATCGGACTTGAAGTCTTGAGCGATCTCACGGACGAGGCGCTGGAATGGGAGCTTTCGGATGAGGAGCTCGGTCGACTTCTGGTAGCGACGGATCTCACGGAGAGCGACGGTACCTGAGATGCATGTTAGTGGATGTTGTTGGAACTGCATAATGGAGAAGATGCTTACCTGGCTTGTATCTGTGTGGCTTCTTGACACCACCGGTAGATGGCGCAGACTTGCGAGCGGCCTTGGAGGCGAGCTGCTTACGTGGGGCCTTGCCACCAGTGGACTTGCCTGCGAAGGTGTGTTAGAATGTTGTTGCAATGGTGCGAAGCTGTCATGGTGAAGGCGCGTCGAGGTGTTGAAGTGTTGGAGTGGCGGTGCGACGATGTGACGCGACGCCGACAACAACAAATCGCGACCGGCGGCGGCGACCATGAGGGTAGTGGAGATGACTTACGGGCTGTCTGCTTGGTACGAGCCATTGCTGATGATGCGTGTGATGTTTGATGGGTGTTGCTGAGTGTCGCTGGGTGATGAGAGATGTGGTTGGCTGGTGTGTGTTGGGTGTGTGGATGAAGAGGTGGAAGTTGGGGGACGAAGGTTGGCTTAAGAACAACGCGGGCTGTGGCCGCAATCACTGCGCTCTTTCAGATCACAAGCCAGAAAAGTCAGGCAGCAACTTCCAAAACATGTGCTGGAAAGCAGCACTCGCAAAGTTGAATGGCGTCGGCCAATGAACGCGCAGGATCAATGCGCTTAGCGTTGTTTTCCGCGAGAGGCAGCTGGTCCGTGTGCCTGCGCGTCGTGTTGTGATTAGAGCCGCGACTTTGATGCGCAGCCCTAGCCCGCCGTACTTAAGCCCTCAAGCTCCCGCCCAACTTCGACTTTGCACTCCACATCCACACAGCAGCCAACCACATCACCCAGCGACTCACCAACCAAGCTTCACAACCATCAATACCATCAACCTCTTCACACAACAACCTCATTCAAAATGACTGGACGTCAGTATTCGTCCACACTGTCGCTCCACCGCCATCTTTACTGACTTCCATCGCAGGCGGCAAGGGTGGCAAGGGTCTCGGCAAGGGTGGTGCCAAGCGTCACCGCAAGATCTTGCGCGACAACATCCAGGGTATCACAAAGCCAGCTATCCGACGTCTCGCACGTCGTGGTGGTGTCAAGCGTATCTCTGCCAGTAAGTTCTTCCATCTGACGCATCGAGCTCTAGCAACACCATCTGACATCTGCTCCAGTGATCTACGAAGAGACCCGTGGTGTCCTCAAGACCTTCCTGGAGGGTGTTATCCGCGATGCAGTCACCTACACTGAGCACGCCAAGCGCAAGACTGTCACCTCTCTCGATGTCGTCTACGCCCTCAAGCGACAAGGCCGCACTCTGTACGGTTTCGGTGGTTAGATGCTTGGTTTATGATATGGGTTTTTGTTTTGCATGGTTTTACGACACTCAGATATCCATCAGCGAGGGGCTGCAGCTCAGAGACGGCTGGCGATGGATGGCGCGAATGGGATGGGATAGCAGGCACATTTTCAGGCCTAGCTTTTTACTGCTGTAACATAACGGCTCCAGGAGTTTCGTGGTGATAATTGAGCCGATCAATGACAACGATGCATTAACTATTCACGAATGTCCTTTCGCTTCCACCCTGCACTTGCGCTTTGCTTTGTTTACTTTTCTGTCGCGCTCGTTCGAGGCTTTGCTCGTTATGGTGAAGCAGTGACCACCGCGTTGTTTTGATGACGTGAAGTCGAGTATCGCTCCGGGAGTCGCCGGCAATGTGCACCTGCATTGTGGAGACTGCTGCTTCTACGCACAGAAATTATCTGTGCTATCCAATATGAAGTTCCGCAGCATGCAAGATAGTGACATAGTGTGTTGCTGATGATCGTTTAGGAACTGTGTGGGTTTGGGGCCATACTATCCAAAAGCCCCAACTTCCGCTTGCGCAAGACCCTTCTCCCCAACCCTGAGCAGAAGTTGCAGAACGTCAACGTGCCTCACAGTCTCTCCGAACATTGACTTCATCGTGCGTACAGGTCGCACACTGGTGCAGGGCAGTAATGGACATTTGTGTTGTGCTGCGGGCAGATTAGATGTCTTCCAATCCTCCTGGGTGACCAGCAGTGCTGGCCGAGGTCGCTTTCAGCTGCATGCACCTAGGACTAGTGGAGCTTTCGTAAGGCGTCTTCCAAGCTTGTAAGAATCTCTCAGGTGCTTTAGGGTCGGCCGACGTGGACATTGGGACTACTATAAATTCACTAAAGAGCGCTCCCTGCGCACTCTCCTCGAGCAATTCTAGGCCTGGCAGGTCAAGACTGACAATCCGTACCAGTTTCGCCCCTACCACACATCAGCACTACCCAGCTCTCGTCCATACTCACGGGCTCGTAACTACTTTGCAGAATGCATCACCACAAGATAGCTCCTCCATTTCAGGGGGCGCAGCCGAAGGCGCTATTCTTCGATGTTTTTGGCACGTGTGTCGACTGGCGGAAGACTGTTACAGATGCACTTTACAACAGAGCTCAAGAAGCCTTGAACTCCTCAACTCCTTCGCTCTCTGGTCAAGCTTATACGAAGGCTACAGCTATGGTGAGCATATAAATGGTAGCGAGGATGACGTCCTACTGATTGCTGGCAGACGAAGGAAGACTGGGGCGAGCTCGCACAAGACTGGCGCAACACCTATCTGGTATTTACTCGTGCAATTGCGAGCGACCCCGATATTCCATATAAGACCGTCGATCAGCACCATCTTGACGCTCTAGTGGAGCTTTTGGAGGCCGAGCATTTGGCCTCTCTGTGGAATGAGCAGCAGGTTCTGGAGCTTAGCAAAATCTGGCATTATCTGGATCCGTGGGTCGACACGCCACATGGCATCCGTGAGCTGAACAAGAAATTCAATACCTGTACGCTGAGCAATGGCAATGTCAGCCTTCTGGAGGACATGGTCAAGCATGGCGGCATGCCTTTTACCCACATCTATTCCGCAGAGATGTTCAATTCCTACAAGCCGAGTCCCAAGGTCTATCTTGGAGCTGCAGAGAAGATGGGTATCAAGCCTGAGGAGTGTGTGATGGTGGCTGCGCATTTGGACGATCTCAAAGCGGCCAAGTCACTCGGCTTCCGCACGGTCTACGTGGAAAGGTCGTTGGAAGAGCGACATCCTGAGCTGCGCGACGAGCAGGGCATCGTTGATGTTTGGGTCACCGAGGGTGAGGATGGTTTCATTGCTGCGGCCGAGAAGCTAGGCATCGAGGTGCAGAGGTGAGTTGTGGTGTTGTTCATGGTGTGAGCTTTGGCGTATTGGCTGCCGCCAGTTCGGCGTTTTGCATCGTGATAGAAGTTCGAATGTCTTGTGGTTGTTGCTCTTCGTTGATTTCTTGGTGTCCTCACATGGTGCTGCCTGTCTGCATTTTGTCGTTGCCTCCGTGCTTTGACGTGGAATGTGGTTAGGTGTTGTAATGGATACTTCACATACTTTCAAATTTGAGCAATACAGAAGGATGCATAAATCAGAACTTCTCACAAGCAGCACGTAAAACACATCCGAAGCAGCTCAAAATCACACAACAATCCAGAACTACTACCAAGAAGCCCCGGCTTCAAGTTCGCAGCGAAAATCGAAAATTGGTAATCGTCGCCGTCGTGATAACCCTAACCCTAACAAGAAACGCCAAGCATTCACGACCACAGCGTTTGCTCAACCTTACACAGTGAAGTCGTACTTCGACTTCCCAATTCAAAACCCACATCATCAAAACGACCCGACCTCGAAAGGCACACCTACCGGAAGACATTGTTGTCAGCCAAAAGATGCAAGTCTCCCGTCTTCCGCGATGGCGCTACAGAAGCACTTCGATATGGCCTTGAATACTTGGCTCCTCAATGTCCCTCCTCGCGCTCTCGGGTGAAGCAATTGATTCGCGCGCTGAAAGATATGCCGCTGCCTGTAGTCCATCCAAAAAGGCCGACTTTCAGGCTCATGCCCGGTGCATCAAATAGCTGCGAGCAGCAGGGTAGGCTGTTCAATTCAGTTCTTGAGGACTGATTTACTTCAATGTGGGAAAAGCCAAGGGTCCAAAAGGCAGAGAAAGCCAACGCAGCAGAACTGACTCGGGAGACCTACCAAGCGACCCGAGGGAAAAGTGTCAAGTGATCCACACAGCAGGAAGAGCGGCAGAGAGAAAAGCCAATGGGGAGGATTGACACCATATTCGCCACACAACACCGAATACAGCATCGCGAGCCAGAACTTGCCAGAGACAACCTGGTTGTACAACTGCCTGTCGAAGCCAGCGTGCACAGAAGCCTGGATGACAGCAGAAGAGCAATCTGAAGAAGGTGCGGACCCAAACGCGGGCGACGACATTAAACTTAGTCGTGCCTCGAAAGCCTCACCAGACGTCAACCAGCCAGAAGCAGATACCGAGAAGCGACTGTATATTGAGAACCAAGTCATAGCTAGCGAAGATTACTCTCTATTCACCACGGGCCAGAAGCGAGCCGTCGTTGTAGCAGAATCCTTCGCTACCTGGTCCAGTCCAATGTCTGGCTCAATCTACTACCCGGCATTGAACCCAATCGCCTCGGACCTTCACGTCTCGAGCTCGAAGGCCAACATCGCAGTCACAACATCTCTGATCGTGCAAGGCTGGGCACCGATGATCGCAGGCTTCTCGGACGAAGATGGACGAAGACCAGCCTACTGCACATGCTTCACAATCTATATCACCGCCAACATGGCATTGGCTCTGCAGAACGACCTCACAGCGCTTCTACTTCTCCGAATGCTACAACCAGCATAAAGTAGTGGGACCGTCGCACTGGCCAATGGCGTGGTCGGCGATTGCATCCCCTCACATCGCTGGGAACAATCCTAGGTCCGGCGCTGAGTCCCATCCTTGGTGACCTGATGAGCCAGTTTCTCGGATGGCATTGGCGAGTGTCTACATCCAGCTTGACCTGGCGAAAATTGCCGACATAGCAACTGCATATTCTAGGCTGTCCTTATCCTCTCCATCGCCTTCTCCATCCCACTGGCACTCCTCTTCCTCGAGACATGTCGCATAATCGTAGGTGATGGATCGATTCCACCGCCATAGATGAGCCGGAACCTCAGTGATAACATTCGCCATCGAAGAAGACTGGCACGAGGCATTCAGGTCGACGAAAGCAAACTGGCGGAGCTCCGCAAGAACTGCAAAATCGTCATAGCGAGTCTCGACTTTGATTGTAATCGCAGACTTGGAATCGGCACCCATACTGCTGGCGACCGGAATTGCATTGGCCTGCGTCTACGCTATATCCACAGGCGCGTCTACCAGCTTCCACACACTGTACGGGTTCGACGTTGTGAGTGTCACCATCCCTCACTAGCGCAGACCACGCTGCATGTCGAGGTACACTCTGCTGTGACAGAGTCTCCAGCTTCCTATCGGAGGCGGCGGCGTGATCCCAGCGTTTAACACTGGCTAAGCGACTCAACTTTCCTATCAAGCGCAACCGCCAAGCAGACCTCACGAACTTCCCAATCGAGTTCGCGCGCATGCAGATAGCATTACCACTGCTCTTGACCGGAGCAATCGCGATCATAGGCTACGCGCGGATGCTTTCCCACAAGATACCTATCTTTGGCTGGGCCGGCTATCATGCTCTCCATCATCGGATACTGTCTATCCGCCGGCTTCCAAGTCCTGAATGTCCTCTCACATGGTAGACATCTATCCGGGAAAGTCTGCAGCCGCAACCGCCGCGAGCAACGTTTACGCGATGCTTGCTAGGTGCTGCGGCAGGTGCGGCTATCACACCAATGAGTGAAGCAATGGAATGGGTAATGGCCCTAATGGGTAAATCCAGACTTTGATTTTAAGTTCTGAGACCTCGGCCGTCGGCGGGTTCGCCTGTCATCTTTAGTAACGCGTGGTTGTTGGTTGTCAGCAGCTCCGTCATCTAGCATACGAACCATATTCATGAATCCGCGTAGACGCGAGAGCCTGATGAATGCCCGATTGACGGCTAGGCGGAAACGAATCCTACCATCCACCATTGTCCATCATTGACATGGAAAGTTCTCATTCTCACCGTCCTCTTCCTCATTTCGACCATCGGACCCATCGCGAGCATGTGATAAGGGATAGGTAGCTTGGCGCAAAGCCAAGAGAGAAAACGCCGAGTGCAATGAGGAATTGGCCAAACACGAGAAAGCGGCAGCAGCACGGCAAAATCGGCAGACCAGGCCGAACCGACGGCACGGCTACAGAGACAGCACGTTGCGTGTCAGAATCCCGGAACAATGAGCCTGAAATGCTTGGGTGTATTCGGATGGTTGTTTCAACAAAGCCTCTTCGACCGACCTTTAGCATGGGTATCCTGCCTTTCTAAAGTAACGTTTCCTGCTTATCCTCATTCTCAACGATGATGATGAATCTCGTATCCACAACGTATTGTCCAATATGCCGTTCCGTCATGATTGCCTCCCTCTCCAACGAATAGCCGTTGCTCTCGTCACCCGCTCACAAGCCTTTCGTAAATTCGTCTAGATGTAGGATGCACTACGCGTGCTCGAGCGGCACAAATCCTGGCAGTTTATCCAAAAACTAGAACGGTGCGAATGTGACTGTGGAGAAATGCGGCAGCTGCCGTTCATTGTTCGTGAGCCGTGATCGTAGGATTCTTCCATTCGCTTCTGTGCACTCCCTTGTCCAACACTGCCCCTGTGCAGATCAGGACCCATTGCTCCTCCACCGGATGCCCAACTGGATCCTTCGGAGCTCTGTCCACTCCCGTTCGTAAGAAGGAAGCTCTCCTTGTAAAGAAAAGGGGGCGAAAAGTGAGTGACTTCGATATGGCTTCGAGCGTTTGATCAAGCCATTCATGCACACAGCTGTTCGAACGAGCGCAAAGTCGAGGATGTCGTCGTGGAGCCGGGAGGAGGCTGAAAAGAATGCCAACCGACCGACCAGCCCAGCTTGCCGTGCTCCATATAACTCGCGTGCGGGCTGCAGCCATCGTTCATGTCGCCTGCAAGTGATCGACAGCACCTTACGTATATGCAGCCTCAATGTCCACCGGAATGCATTTCGAAGCCTCGGTCATTCGCTACTCGGGTCTGCTCGGAGGAGGGTGTAGATTGGAAAGCCAAGAAAGATATCCCACTGCCGCGCGCAGTGCTTGTGTGTCGTTTCATGCATGCGAGGAATTTCAAATTCACAATATCACACATTTGCTGCCCCCGCCTCCGCGCTCTCGTTCCTTGTCGGATCGTCGATATCGCTTCTTCTTGTCGCGGTCGGCATAAAGTTCAGCGCCGCCATTAGTCCGAGGTATTCTGGCAGCTGAAGGATCTGAATGTGATATCTTCTGGCTCTGCCGAGATGGCGCGCTAGCTCTTTGTCTCCGCAATTGGCGCACCACGTCGTAAAATGCCTTTTCGACATTGACGCAGTTTTTAGCCGATGCTTCGACAAATTCGCAGTTTAATTGCTTTGCGAGCGCGAGGCCTTCTTGTGTGGATACTTCTCGCTCTGTGACTCGGTCGCATTTGTTGCCGACCAGCATGATCGGTGCTGGTCCAGAGTAGCCCATGGTCAGGGACAAGGGTGAGCCTGGGTATGTAGGCGAACCTGCTGCAGCAGACTCTTTCACTCGTTGGATCTGGTGATGGAACTTCTGTATTCTGGTAAAAGACGATCGCGAAGATATGCTGTAGACCAGTATGAAACCCTCGCCGTCTCTTATCCATTGATCCCGAAGTGCAGTGTACTCTTCTTGACCAGCAGTATCCAGCACCTCCAGCATACAAGATTGGCCGTCGATTTGGACTTGCTTTCGGTAGGAGTCTTCGATGGTGGGGTCGTACGTCTCGACGAAGTGGTTCAAGCAGAGCTGCAGTAGATTAGTACCGTTGCACACAGCCATGCCATATTCGGCACACTCACTTGGATCGTCAAAGCCGTTTTTCCCACTCCTCCATCACCAAGCACTACCAGCTTGTAAAGGGTCATCTTTCCGTGAGACATGGTGGCGGCCGTGGATTGTCGTCAGACAGCTGGAATGTGGAGGATGTGCAAGCTGCTCGAAAGATGACTGCTCGTAGGCTTGTCAGGCGACTGCTACGAGATGCTGTCCGACGTGACGGTAGCACGACTCACTCTCATGCGACAAGAGTGCCGTTGGTTGGCCAATTGCAAGGGCTGGCGGGCAAACGACCAGTCCGGTGTTCCAATGGCAATCACTGGCACGTTCCAGGCTCCCGTTCACCACGGTCAAGGGCTGATATTCGCCTGGGCGTCCGCGGACGGCTCCCTCAGTACGACGGGGCGTGACGCCGAAAGTGGAGACACAGCGACGAGCGAGGAGACGGCGTAAGGGTGGTAGAATTGTGCAGGTGCGGTCCGATGTTGGCGGAGAAAAGCGGGCGAGTAGTGTATGGGATGATGTTGCTCTGGCCTTGCTTGCTTGCTTGCCTGCTTGCGTGGGACACGGTGTGCGAAAAGGGCAGGCTGGGGGTTGCCTACTGCCGTTCAACGGGCCAGAGGACTGCAGCAGCAGCGGAGGAAGAGCTGGTCGGGCGGAGAGGTGAGAAGTGGTAGCGGAAGCAGTGCGGGATGTTTGGGTGGCCTGCAGGCTTTCAGACGGCGATGTGCAACTCTATTTGCAGCGTGTCTGTGAGCGATGCGCGCAGACGTGGGAGTTGGCGGCAGATGGAGGGTATCAGGCGTGGATCCTTGATGGACGCTGAGTCGGAGGATCAATGCGGTGTTCCCGGGGGCCTCAGGAGGACACGGACGCGGACGCGGACGCGGACGCGGACACGTGCGGGCGGTGGCGGTGGCGCTGGCACATGGACACGGCGCCGAGAGGACGGGAGGTTCGTCAAGCGACTGCAGACGACGAAGAACGAGCGGAGCGGAGGGCGAGACGTGCAGCGGCAACAGCAGCGGCACACAACTAGAAATAGGAATTCAGTGTCCGAGTTAGTGCAGCGGGGGTGTGTGGGCAGCCGTCTCTCCTTTCCTTCCCTTCCCTTTCCTTCTAGGCCCTCCCTCTGCCTCTGCCTCCGCCTCCCTTTCGTGACAGAACACCTCAGTAGCAGCTTAGCGTTCTGCTCTCGGCGAACGCACTTTTCCCGCGCGCTGGAGCGACGAATGGCAGAGGGCGCTAGCGGAAGGGTGTACACCTCACACGCAGTGCACACGAAAGGCGAAGGGGGCGCTGCACACGTTATGCACCACACGGCCACGAAATCGATTCGTGTGTCTCCCATCGCAACCCCACAGCAGGCGGAGCAAGAGCACGGGCTTGGCAGTGCTTGCATACATGTATGTGTGTGTGCATGTGTGCATGTGCATGCATGTGCATCGGCAGTCAAGCCTTCTCGAACGGCTCACGCCTCGGCCCTCCGGCAGCATGCTCCGCCGCCGCCGCCGCCGAGTGATGGCCTTGCGTCTTCTCGACTCCCTCACCTCATATTACTGAGATGATCTCTTCTCGCAAGTCGTCTCTGCAAACTTCGCTCGCCGCCGCTGTGGAGCAGCGCTGCCGAGCACTGCACTCTCTGTCCACGCCTTCTAGCATTGGCCCTTGCCTAGTGAGCAGTAGCTCTCCCAGCTAAAAGGTAGCTGTTCACGGGCCGCAGAACCTACAAGTACCACGATAGGCGCGATTGATTCGGCGGGCCATGCATCCTCCAAAACTCAGATATAAGTATATCAACCTAAACAAGGGTGTAGATCGCGCCGCTACGGCGGCTAGGTTTGCTACGGCGCTTGTCTACTTCTATAGTTATTAATAGGCTATATATAGACCGCTAAGAGGTCTAATTTCGAGCTAATTTAAAGCCTTATAATAGTATAGTATAGGCCTACTTACAATAAAGCCAAACTAGACCTTATCTAGAGACTATTTCTACCTATTTGTTTATCGACCTGTTCTATCTCTTCCTCGTATTATATACCGCCTTTGTTTTAACCTTACTATCGCTAATTCTACGCTCTTTATTATATATAAGCCTTCGTATGCTAAATACCTATTGCCTAAGGATATAGAGTTGTTGCTTAGTAAGCTAGAAGTCAAGCGGCTAGTACGTATATCTCGTAAACTGTAATAATCTCGTACTAAGTATATTATTATAGTTTAAAAGCCCGTTTCTACTAAATCTATACGATCGAAGGCGCCTATTCTTCTACCCTACTAGTAGTAATAAGGGCATTCGAATAGAAGGCTTCGAATACGACGAATACCGCTATTTCGTATCGAATGTATAGTACTATAAGAACCGGCCGAACTACTTATCGAATAATAGTAATAGGCGACTATATCGACGACTTAGCTTTAAGTATCGTATCTATAAGCGCTATATAGACTATTAGCGCGCGGAAATAGCTCTAGAAGTCGTTATAACTACTTAGATACGTAAGAGGCCTTAGCGGAAGCGTATAGCGTATATAAAGCCTTGTTTCGACTATCGCGTAAAGTTAACTATTATCGAGGTCTACGAGAAGCGACTAAGAGCCGAATTTAGCGAGTTTCTCGATAACTGCGTACTACGTAGTCTACCTAATAGTTTAACGGTCGTAAGACCGGCTTACGTAATGCTTTTGCCGCTAAATAAGTGCTATTCGTATAGTCTTAAGTTTGTCGATAGTCTAGTAGTTAATAATAGTATAAAGGCCGTATAGAAAGAGATACTCGATTTTTAAGCTAGTAAGTAGATTCTTAGTACCTTATAGACCTTATATTAACCTGTTTCTAGGCTTAACGTTAGTCGCTTAGTTAGTAGAAGAAATAAGACGGCCTAAATAGAAGCAAGTATAGTACGACGCTAGCGCCGTAGCAATTACTCGAGACCGCGTTAGTAACGCTAATCGAGAAGTCCTTTATCGATTAAGTAACAAGCGAAGAGATAGTACGGAAATAGGGATTGTAGCCTAACTTTAGTAGGTATACGACTACTTAAGCGCTAAATTTAGCGATAGACGAGGCCTCGTACGAATAATTAAGTCTCGTAGACTTAATAGAAAGCTATATAGAGGCCTTGTTTAGGCTTCTAACTAGCAACTTCGAGCCCTTCGTAACTATAGGTCTTTATTTCTATTAGACTCGACCTATTATACGAATAAGCTAAAATAGCCTCTATTAATAGTCTACGTCCGTAATAACTACCTTAAATAGCTTCTAGCGGCTTACTTCCTTCTAGACTACGAGTAGGTATACCTAATTAAGATAGCAATCTTAATCCTTCGAGAAATAGCTTAATCCGACTAGATTAAGAAGGTTAGCGAATACGATAGATATAGGAAGCACTTCTACGTTAACGACGGCTGTTCTAGTAAAGCTAAAGATTAAGACGATTTGAACTAGACTAAACAGTCTTCTTAGATACCGCTATAGTCGATTACTAACGACTTAGCGAGTAAGTAACTCGGTATAATTTAAGGCCTTATAGATTATAGTATTATTTAGCGCCTCTACTAACGCTATCTTATTAAAACCCTCGAGAAGCACTTTAAGCGCTTTCTAACTACCTTTAAGGCTATAACTAACGCATTGTTTATTATAAGAGACTAAGAAGAATGCTAGCAGTTTATTAAGACTGTATAGAGCGACCTACTAAGCTATAATATACTAAAGGCGGTCGAGAAATTAGACTATTTAAAGAAGAAGTAGATAGCTTCTAAGAGCGATCGATAGGCGACTTAGGTACGGCTCGGAGATCCCCTTTTAATAGCCGTTCGAACAACTAGTCTACTAGAGGGCTATTACGAATACTTAAAGCGCCGAGATAAGCGTTAAATACGCAAATAGAGCTTGCGAAGTGCGTATTCGTCCCCTATTTATAATGTTATCTGAATTTATATAAAAGAAGCCCTTTTCTATATTTTTTAGAATAGCTAGAATTCCTTAGAACAGCTCCTTCGACTATATTCTTCTTCCCTTCTATACTATAACTACTAATAATAACTAACTGTTTCTAGGCCTTATAATATACCTATTCTAACTCGACGATTATATCCGCGAGCGCGTACGATAAAACAGTATTGTCGACACCTACGGTTAGCTACTAATATAGCGGAAATACAACACTCTAGCCTTTAAATACCTACTATCTTTAGTATAGAAGAAGATAGCTAATAAGCTTATATAGTATTATAAGGATATAGACAATAACAAGCCTGCTTAGCGGATAGCTCTATCTGCTTTATACGACGACGTATATACTAAATGCTTCTACTACTTCTAGTATAGCTATTACCTGCCTTACAAGCATATCTAGCGCTTCTATATTACTAGTACGAGTGTTCTTACGCTACGACGTTGTTAGTTATATAAGAGCCGCTTTTAAGGTCTAAATAGCAATCTTATATACCCTAAGTAGTATAATACTAGGCTTGTTATCGATAACGACAACTAGTTAGGTAAAGCGACCTACGTTAATATTAATAAGGCTCTAGGAGTATTACGAAAGCGCCGAGTTAAGGAATACTTCTATTCTATATAAGAAGCAGTTATATAGGCCTTCTTCCGCTTCTACGATACGTAGGCTTCTAATTTAAACGACGCTTAGCAATACGAGGCCCTCCTATAGTAGGTAACTAACTACGCCTTAATAAACTAGAAGTTAATAAACGATTATATAAACGACTAGTTTAAACGTAGCGCTAAAGAGGCTAAATTAATACCTTGTCGTACTTCTAAGTAGCGAGGTATTAACGATAGGCCGTTGCGGTAACTAGTCTTCTATACGGCTACATTGCTAACTCCGCCTCTATTAGTTGCCTTAACTAATACTAACCTTCTAGATATATATAGGCCTCGTATTATTATCGAAGGCTATTCTTTACTAGTCTACGGTCTACCTAATAAGAACGGCTTTATTACTTAGGTCGAAGATAGTAAAGAAGACGTACTATACGAGGTTAAGGATAACCTATTTAATAGCCTCTTAGATATAGACCTTCTATAATTAACGCTAATTAGTCGATTGCCGCTATCTTTACTAAAGGACGCTAGCAAAAGTAATTAATATAATAACGACGAGGTATTAAGGTATTAATAGCCGTTGCTATCCTCCTTACTAGACGATTTGCCCTTACTAAGTAAGCTATTTCTACCTCGTAATCTACTACCTTCTACGGTAGAGCTACCTTCTACTATAGAGCTACCTTCTACTATAGAGCAACCTACTATAGCACTATCTATAGCTCTATATTTATTACCTATATAGTTACCTAGTAAAGACACTTCAATTGATCTACTATAGCTATTAGGTAGCTCTTATAAACCTCGTCGTTAGAAGCCTTTAATTAGTAAGCCTATAATACCTTCGAAACGCGCTTATAGAAGGTTATATATAGGTATACTACCTAAACCGTACCGGATAGATTAATCCTCTCGTATACTATCTCCTATACTAATTAGACTACTAAAACGACGGATCTAAGGAGAGGTTGTCGCTTCTAAGCGGTAGAAGTAGTAGTGCTAAGGTGTAGGCGTAGACTTAGTCGTTTTCGAGCGATTACGGCTATTCGGAACGGTAGAAATCCGAGGTAATTAGGTTGTATAAGGGGTGTTTGCAATACCCCGATTTGTACACTAATTTTAGTAGTTATAGGGCACTCTATAGGGTAGTACGGAACCTACAGGGTATACTAGAGCTACCTCGAATTTACTTTCTAGGTTGATCTATAGCGTTAACGTATATCGGAGTAAAAGAGCGCTTATACATTCTAGGGTATCGCGACCCTTGCTTAGCGGCACCGCTTGCTATACAAAGTATAGTGTAACTAGGTATTAGAAGCTAATTAGTGCGATTGTTAGGAACTTTAGTTCTTTAGCTAGTTTAGTAACGATTAGGGTTAAGAAGGAGGGTGTTTTAGAAGCCGTATAGAAGGCTAGTTTAAAGCCGTATAGACAGCTAGTTTAGTAACGATTAGGGTGAAGAACGAGGGTGTTTGAAGCCGTATAGAAGGCTGGTTTAAAGCCGTATAGATAGCTAGTTTAGTAACGATTAGGGTTAAGAACGAGGGTGTTTAAAGCCGTATAGAAGGCTAGTTTAAAGACTATAGACAACTGTAGACAACTAAGTGAGCGCTATGCTATTGTAAGAAGGGTATATTAGCAGGTAGATAGGGTAGTAGTAGGTACGAATAGTATTCGATAAGGATCTAGAAGGAGAGGGAGGAAGGCAGGAGAGTTGGCCTAACGCTAAGCGCCAAGCCCTACCTAAGGCATCGAGACCCTAGCTTCACTCGGCCTAGTCACATACTAATCACGTATAGCCTCTTTAGCCCTAATACACGCTTCCCTTCTAAAGGCCGCGCCCTCGTAGCCTGCCTATATTCTAATCCCGACCTCTATTGCCGCTAACTTAGCAAGTCTAATAAGCTGCTTAGCCGCGCTAAATTGAACACTTAACCACCTAATTATATAACTATATAAAACCTTACCTCTAAACAACACAATGTACAACTCTAACTACGCTATCCTTATATACAATAAAGTAAAGGGATATAAAGCTATAAGAATTGAGGGCTATCGACTAATTACAATACGAGCGCGTCTTCCCTACTATAATAGGTAGACGTACGAGGTATTATAGCCCTGCCTCCGCTCTAAGTAATGTCGTACCGAGTTCTTTGTGTCTACTCTTAAAAGACCTAGCAATGTCCGCTTCCGAGGGTTTATTCGCTTCTAAGGGTTATTGT